ACACACACACACACACACAACACACACACACACACACACACACACACACACACACACACACACACACACACACACACACACACACACACACACACACACACACACACACACACACACACACACAGACTTCTATAAAAGTTTGATGTAACCACACCATGCCCAGAGACGCCATGTACAAAAAACCCCTGCATCAATTATCACATCAACATTCAGCATTCATCAGCACAGCAGGATTTATAGCAGGCACGGGGGAGCCAACAGCCAATAGTCCTTAACTCATTGATCGTTGCTCCTTCCAAAATAAACATGCTGATGCTGATGAGCTGTGATCCGAGGGAACTCTGAAATGCTCACAATACTTACAGCGGTTCTCAGTCCTAATCCTGCCAGAGACCTGGGGACAAACCCGAGGCTCAGAGCCAATGGTGTGTCTTGCTTTGACCTTTGATAACATAAGACCACCTACTTAGGTGCAATCAGACCGCCTTTTCCCTCCGTTGCCTCCCTGACCTCCAATATAGCTTACCTCTTCCCCTTGCTCCCCTCTCTCCTCACTCCTGACTGTCCATTCTGTTAAACTGGCTGACACTCTAAAAACAGCCTGGGTGCATTTGAGTGGCAGGGGCAAGGCAAGGGGCTCCTGGGTCTCCATTTAGCCACTTCCTGTTTGAGGGAGCCAATATGTATGCCCCTCCAGGCCAGTGCTCAGCGTGCCATGTGTAACCAAATGAGGCTTTTTGTAGACTCTACGGCTGGCAGAGCTCTGATCATAGCTACAAAGACTCCGCTGAATATGCTAATGTTGAAAAATCTCCCTCAGCTTGTTTGTACAAACACAGAACGGAATGCTTAATATATGCCTATGATTTGTTCTGGTTTTGTTATTCAGAATTTAGCTGAAGAGAGTGGGCTGACTTTCTGAAAGAAAATTGATGAACAACAGGCTGGTGAATTATGTGTACCATTCCTACCAAATATATACTGTATGCTAATCCTGATCAGAGCACAAAAACAAGGAGATATAGTTTCTCTGTTTCTATAACTCAATGTTTCTTTCTGTCTGAATAATGCACACTGGACACACGCACGCACACTCACACACACAGAGTATTAGTACAGCTGGCTGTCAGGTCCTCAAGCTCAGCAAGAGGTCCATAAGTACTGAAGGCTTTTCTTCCTGTCACAGCATGGGGTACACAACTTACTCTGTGTATGAGTGTGTGTGTTAAGAGTGTATGTTTTCAGCTGGCACCTCTCAACCTTGGCAGCAGTGTGTCTCCTGGCGTGCTCAGGAACAAATTTGTCTTTGGGGTTTGGTTCAGTTTTCCTCTCTGATGTGTGTGTGTGAGTGTGTGTGGGTATGTGCATGTGCGGGTGAGGTAGTCCAGAGGTCTGGTCATTATCACCACTGCAGCTATTGAGCTTGAAGCAAGAGAAGAAAGAAAAAAAAGGTAGAGGGGTGCGGTGAAGGAGGTAAATAAGGACAGGGCCAAGGACAAGATGCCTCTGGGTCAATGGATGAAAACAATCGTTGATCCTAATGGATGACAGTGACACAAATACAACAAATATTCTACTGGCCAAAGCGAGCACATTTCTCAAAGTAAACAAATACCAAATGCTAAGAATTCTTATTTTCTTTTCCACTTTCATTGTTCTTATAACATTACATATTAACTACTGTAAGCCTATCTCCTAAGCAAACCAAAGGATACATGCACAATGAGTTGCAAAAACAGAAATCGTTCTATTCACCATGTGGAATGCCGAAAGAGTTGTGTGTGTTTTCGGAGCTTGTCTTAGCTGTGGCGTGTTGTGGTCACCGGGCCTGTGTGTGGTCCTGGTGTGGTTCAGCAGCTCAGAATAATTTCCATTTAAACATATCTGTGGCCCTCAATGCAAACCACCAATGTTATCCACTCCATTGGAGGTAACACCAAAGGCTTTGCCCCCTGTGTGACCCCTCCTGCGTGTGTATGTTGTGTTCGCATGTGTCCGTGTTAATGCCCGTGGGTGTTCGCACAACGTTGTAAATATGTGTGTGATTCACTTTCATCTGTCTTCCGGCATATTAGCAAAAGAGATTTCTCATGTAGTCAAGATAATGGTGAGTAAACAGGGTTAGAGTGGTGTGAGTGCTGATGGATGGGAGTGTTTTGAACAGCAGGGCCCCTTCAATGCATTGTGTCCCAGTGATGAGTGTCCCCCCCCCCTCTCAGGGGTTCCTTCCCACCACAAACAGCAGTGCTTATCGGATCATTGAGAAGGAATGTGGATGCTTTCTCATGAGATACCTCCAGAGATGTTTCTCACTCACTACTGTCTTTGAGTGTGTCTCTTTGATGGACAGGGGTTATAGGTGGGACCTGGCCCGCCACGTGAAGATTTGTGTGCCGAGACAAACCTGTTTATTCAGGTTTCCAAAAAAAACAAGATATTACTTTTCTGTTGTTTATCCATCTTACTTCCTTTTATTATTCTTTTCAAAGTGAATACCTGTTTGACATTGTTCAGCATTGTGCAGCACTATATTTAGAAAAAAAAGGGTCTTGTGAAATCTGCATGGGTTATGTTTCCCCAACCAGTGGGTGGGGAAAACAGCTTACACAAAACAGAGATGAGCATTTATCAGTCACAGGATACTGAGGTGGCAACAGGGCTGCCATTGTGGCAACTCCCCAGAGAGCAAATGGCTTTTCCCACATCTGCCTTTTGTACACACATTGAATGCAACCTCCCCATAACTCATCTGGCAAACAGGAAGGAATCACAGACCGGATTTGATTTGTGACCCAAAACAGCTCCAATCCCAGATTATGCAGTGATAAATGACCCACCGGCAAATCAGGGAGTCTTTGCACCACAGAAAGAGGAAGAACAGGATCAACTGGAAATAATTAGAGTCACATAGTTCTACTCAAGGGACTAGATCAGTGAAACAGTAGGGAACATATTACACTACTTAGTTGGTGAGAATTAGATCGCCATTGTAGGAGGAAGTGGTACAGTAGTTAGTGTAACTGACTAGTTGAGAGGTGGACATCAAGCTTGTGATGGCTAAAGGGACCTTGGTGTTGACATGAAGACCAAAGTAGAGCAGCTTCCTGATGGCACTGGGTCTCTGAGAACCGCTGTCGGTTTGTACTCCTCTGTAGGCACACAAACACGTAAGAGTTGGCCTGGCATGGCGCATGAATGCTATGCTTCAAAGTACAGTATGTGTATGTTTGTGAGAAGATGTCTAAGGATGTCTGTGTCCATTTCTTAAATAAATACAGATGTATGTTGTGGTTGGCCTTCGATTCCAGTGTCATGGTTTTTATTGTGTCTCTTTGTGTGGGGGATAGGCCTCTGGGACAGAGGCTTATATCAATGACAGAAGAGCGAAACACCAGATGCAGTCATACAAATACATGTATGTGCGCACACACACACACAACTGCTCATGGGGAGACTAAAAAGCAGAAAAACACTTCCCCACAGCCAAGTACTTTGAGCAGATACTGAATTAATCAGTCGAATCTGTCTACAACAATAGAACCGTTTATAGACCAGGGACCAATGCTTCATATTAACTATATTGAAGGTCTGCTTCGCAAAGAGCCTTTCAACACAACTGTTAACAACATACATTTTAAACATCATTTTATTTCAAAAGTACACAAACAGGACCAATGTCATTCAGTAAGGCAAAGCTCAAATATTAACAACCACTCACGTCAGAGGACTCAAAATCTCATAGTCACAGTTTATGGGTACCACTTGCAAATAATAAATAAAACTCTTTTTTTCTTCATATATAGACTAGAACTTTTTTTTTTTGTCATCATGAAAAAAGAGCATTAGACAAACATTTCATTACAACCCCAGCCACATATAATCTTCTTCATCTTCCGTATTATTCTTTTTTTTTTTTTCATCACTATTGTCCATGAAAAGTCAGAGTGGGCCGGGGGGAGGTGCACCTGTCTTTCTCCTCATGGGTGTTACGTGGCTCTAATGCCCAGTTCCAAGCCCAGCTACAGACCCTCAGCAGCTACCCAAAATAACTGAACATAGTGGTGTGAGTGAGAGTGGGTTTTATTGGAACACTTGTGCAGTTTTAAGCTATTATGTGCATTCTTAGCATTATTACTTTGTTCAAAACTTTGTATCTCTGCCCAGATCCTTTTCGTGCAGCTCATGTGATTTTGCTAAAGCACCGTAATTATCACTACTTAGCAGCTTTAATAGCTATCCATTTTCAATCCTTCCAAATAGGTGGCACTGTACCTCAGGGCTATAGGGCTTTGTAGTGGGTGAGTTGGAAAAGGGCATAGTTTGATTAGGGGCAGGAGTGTTTCTGTGGCATCGTTGCGATTCTTTTGCATGCCGAGCCAAGCCGATCCAAATCAAGTTCTGGATGGAGAGGCATGGCCAGCACTGGTCACCTAGGGAACAGCGCCAGGAGGACGCAGAGCAGTGTTGCCGCGAGCGACGGGGTGAGCCCCACAGCTCCTCCACACTCCATTGAGTTCTCCTAGAAAAAGAGAGAGAGGGGGGGGGCAAGATACAGAAAGATATGGGATATTTTAATAAAACATGAAAGTGGAATTAGCAGGGGATATATTATGAAAGAAAGTAGTATAATAGTGAGCGATCTGTGTGTACAGTGTGTTCAAGGAGTGAATACCTCTGGGTGAAAAGGGTGACAGGTATCAGGGCGCCTCCTGTCCTTTTGCATCTTCAACCGCTCGCACTTGAGAGATTCATTATGTGCAGCTAAAGTTAAGGCAATAACAGACAATGTGTACCCTCGGCAGGGTGTTTTCCTGCTGGAGCGTATGTCTTGTTTATAATGGAAAGAAAAGCATGTTTGTGAGAGCACCGTGGATAGAGGTTTTTATGGAGGCAGTGTTACTTTTTGAACATAGCCGAGTGCAAAATGTGAAGAAATAAAACCGACTGAGCAATGTTTGATGAATTTTCTTTTGTCGCATAGCAACACAATAGCAGGCTTTATGCTAAAGTAAGCACTCCACAACAAAATAAACAGTGGTGGACATGTATAAACAGCTTGAGTGTACTGCATAACATTTCAGAGGGATGAACATTGCAGGGGAATCCAGCGTAAGTATTTGGTGACGATCTAAGTTCCTTTAGTCTGACTCTACTCTGAGCTGTGTCTGCTATTGATCAGCATCCCACCGCAGCGTGGGCTGTTGTGTAACTCAGTCCAAACACAGACCCAGCACTGTGAAACAGACTTCTAGGAGAGTGATGTCTCGCAGCCTTCAGATGCTGACCCTCATAACACTCTCATCTCTTTCATCCACCAAAAGGGTAAAGGGCAAACAAACTTCCCAAATCTTCCCCACAAATTAAAATGCTCTATGCTATTAACATCCTGCTGACTTCGATGGACATACACTGGCTATAGCTTTAGTATTGTGACACAGGAAGTTATGAGGTGGAAGAGAATAGAGTTTCTATTAAAAATAACATAGACAGGTTAGACTGTTCTTTTTCTCAGCGTCCAGGTGGTAAAGGGAAATTGGAGAGACAGGTCAGCAGTAAAACACATTAAGCTGTCCACTAGAATCATATCTTTCTTGATCTTCTGTGAATTGCAAAAAAGCACCATGTATTTGACATATGAGCTGAGACAGTTACTACTAGCTTTGTGGATTTTAATCAAGTTTCTTTCAAGATTGTCAAATTTGATTCGAGCTGTTGCTTTTCTCATCTTTACACCCCTGTCAAATATAACTCCAAATCATCTTGGTGCCACTTCCTCTATCTCAGGAAACCAATGTTCTCACTTTTACTCAATCACCCCCAGCTCTCTAGTTGTTTGCCAGTAAAGGATATACATGATTTCGATGGGGTCCATGGTGATTGGCTCGTACATGCTGCAGTCACACTTGTTGTCCACCACCACCATGAAGAGATTGCTGCTGGGGATCTGCTGGATCACAAAGGACCTGCCAATCACAGCAAAGACAGCCAGAAACAAAACAACGATGAGAAAGGAAAAGACGGAGAGCAAAGGGGGGATTGAGCGTTGGATTGGCAAGGAGACAAGGCGCCAGGGTATGATGTGCATTTCTTGTGTCGGAGGATTTGTGTTATGAGTGTTCACATTTCACCCCCCACCCCCCGGCGAAGGGAAGATGCACCACTGGATGCATGTCAAGAAGAAAACGTGTCTCCAGGCCAACTGTCAATAAACATACAGAAACATCGACAGACTCACACCAAACAGACACACACACATAAAGTACACACACATGCTTCTCTAACTAACTCTATCGCCTCCACTTCCTCATTACTTTCCTTCTCCTTTGTCTTTGTTATATCCTATCCAACCAATGAAGTGTTGCCGAATATAAAACACTCCAAAGGGAGACAAATGGGAAACACACTTTTTGGGGCTTATAGCTTCTCATGGTTGTATTTCGCCTCGGACTCCTGCCCAGTGATTTATGACCTTGGATAAGCTTTATGAAGAAGAAGAGTCGTAAAGATGATCTCTTCTTTCTGTCTCCCTTTCGTTCTTTATCTCTCTGCTTCTCTCCCTCCCTCTCTTCTTTCGCAGCTGGGTGATTTATCGAGTTCACTATGATCTATTTTCAGACACGTATGAGAACATGCATGTGTGACTGATTGGACACACACAAATGCTGAAAGACACGCATTCACTTTCTCAATACTTGTCAAGACAGAAGTAAGACAGTCGATCAAAACAGATAGAGAAATATCTCCATCCATACTCATTCAATACCATGACCAATTTCATTTGACCACAAAGAGAGCCTGAGTAGTGCCAATCCACCACACTCTAATTCAGTCATCCCGCCGTGACCAACCAAACCAATCCAGCAAGTAGGCCAAACCAGTTCCAATCACGGTGAATTAGGATCTGCTGATTTGTAATCATCTCTGCTCACCCCTGCTCAGCCTGATAGAAAGCAGGGCAAGTGTTTTTAGAGTAAAGACTTAAACACATCCTGAACGCACAGCTGCTGGCCTTGAACATACCCAGTGCTGGGAAAGGGATCTCTACGCTGCATATAAAGGCACACACTTGGACACAAAACAATGATGTGTATAATGTGCACAGATACACACACACAGAGAGACAGACATTCATGCATATTCTCTCTCACAAACACACAGATGGTAAAGATTGTGTCTTCTTGACATGGACTCCTAGTGTTTTGGCTCTTAGAGATTTTGGCCAGCAGAGGAATGAACGACAAAGACATCCAAGAAAAGTGAGCTTGAGTGAGAGAGACCCATAGAAAAGAGATAAAGTCATCAGAGAGAAAGAAATCAAGAGTTAGAGACATGTCATAAAGCGGATGTACTGTAGGAAATATAAAGACTCTCACAAAGCTGTGGTGACAGAACAATGTCTTCTTCTCAACGTTTTGACAAGACATATCACACAATCTGTAACTGAAGCTGATTAAGACACCTGCACTGCGTATCAACCCCTTTTGATCATGAAAGAAATGTTTTAATCTTTCCATTGTCAGCTGTACTGAAGCTCATTTTAGAGGTTAGGGCTTAGATGATAGCATTTCACAGAACATTATGCTTTACACATGCTTTTGATACAGATAAGGGGCACCGTTTTTCTGCCTTTCATGGTCAAATCATGATCAGTTTTGGCTAAATGTAATATTTTTGTGCATCTTGTGCAAAATGTTCTCATTTTTCCCAGTGATGTATTTTGCGAATCATTTAACCAAAACCATACTATAAATTTACAGTATGGTTTTCAGAGACCTCAGTCAACACAGTTGGGCGTTTTTTACCAGTAAGTACTGCATGTAATTCGACAATTACTTTTGAAAATGCTCCACTTAAATATCAACTAAAAGATTGGAGAGTTCTCAGACCACTGCTGTCCTTTTATTTGAATTTATCTCATGTATTTCAGGGTGAAATGAAACCATTATCAGAGTATTCTCTACACAGTATGCTTTTCTTTTTGACTGTCAAAGTCGATGCAACAAAGTACGTTTATGCAAACCTTTTTTAGGGCCATCATTTCCTTTGACATGTGTCGAGCCTTCCTTGACAATTTTACATTTTGAACAACACATTTGTGTTGAACTATACACAAGGAGAGATATGTAATACTTGCAGATTGCTGTTTTTAAGAGACAGTACAGAGAAAATGGCTTCATTAATGTAGGTGAAATCGTCCTTTAGGGATGTTTTATCATTGGCAAGATTTTTTTGATTCTTATGATCCGTCACTCTGTCTCAACCATCAAGAAGTAATAGACATACCGACATCACATGCACACATGCACAAACACAAGTGAAAATACAGTAAAGTGAGGTTTAACAGGCAAGGGCTTAGGGTATATTTCCTAGAGTATAAAGCACACACACGTGTCCCAATGAAAATATAAGAGAAAGGCCTCAGTTAGCCTGTAAAGTGAAACAGATGTTTATCACCAATATCCTCTATTACTAATATGAGCTATAAAATCCCTTAAAACCGAAATAAAAACTTTTTTTGACTTTGTCATAATTTAAAAAATATGTATTTTAAGGTGACATGTTGCTCACAGCACACAGCTGGCCAGCTAATCCCAGTTGAGGTGTCATCATTGGACATTTTTTCTGATTCCCGCTTCTGTCATGAGTATTTGGGTGGGTGAAAGTGTGTGTGTGAGAGGGTGCTGTGTGTGTACCCTGAATGTGTGTGTTTAGTGGTCTGACTGCATCCCCAACCACATTTGAGTCCTAGCACCCAGGGCAGTGGTTACCCTGCTGACCTAGCACACACACAGCCCGACACACCCCTGCACCCACATGCACGCACACATGCACACACAGAGCCTCCCTGGCAGTTCCACAGCTGGGAGCAATGAAGGGCCCATTGGAAGGATCCAGAGAACACCCCACAATTGCCTGACAGAAAAGCCCAAATTGTTAATGGGGACCACACTCATTTTCCCATTTTTAAAGGAAGCCTTTTTTTCCACCTCTCTCCCTCATCTCTAAATGCCTCGTATTTCAAACTGCCGGAGGAGAGAGTGAGTGTCTGTGTGCGTGTCTCTGATGGATCACCCTGGATAAAAGTGTTTTCAGCAGACAACAAATGATTTAAATGTGTTTCTCATTATCAGGGATCAAGGACATAACATATTTTGCCAAGATGAGAGTTAACTGGATAATTCTTTTTTCATTGCTGGCTTGTTTTATGGAGCACAGTGACACAATCATGTCATTGGTGTATAAAGGAAATTACAGATATGTACAATTATATTGTTTGTTTCTGTGTTGTCTATGTGTGTTTACATATGTCTGTTTGTTTGTGTCTCATACTTGATGCAGCCGCCACAGTCAACGTTCCCCGTGTTCTCTTTGATGGTTCTCTCGGAGATGAAGGCCGGGTACTCTGTGTCACATGGTACCTGCATGCTCCGGCCTATCCTCTGAGCTGCAGGATGGGAGAGAGAGAGAGAGAGAGAGAGGAAAAAGAAAGGGAGTGAGAAAAACCGGGAACATCTTTTTCAAAGTCAAATACATATTTTAAATAGGTATGCATATAGATTGTAGGCAAACTGTTAAACACACCACATCCTTGTAAATATACAAGTTTGAAAGAAAGCAGCACTTCTGAACCACAGCTGCCTCTCGTCCTGCTGGAGATATTTCCAGTGTGAATCTAGGCCAGCCATGTACGCAATATTACTTGAACTCTCCTGCCACCCAGAGGTTTCAAACAAGGCTACAGGATGGAAAGGAGAAAAGGAGGCAAAGTGGTACATTTTTCTATTTGGGTCAATATTTTTAAAGCAGGCTTAATAAAGCAGGCGCTAATATTATCCAAATTAGCATATTCAATCTAGACATTTAAAGACGTGTGGTTTTATTTTTTAAGTTCAGTTCTTCCAGGGTGGAACATTTTTTCCACCCATTTCTAAAGATGGTGGATTATGTGTGTGACTTGAATAGAGTGGTTTAATTACTGGATGTCAGCAGTGCAGCGTGTGTGTGCAGTTGTATATATGTACATGTTAGAAGCGCAAACTACATGAATAAATGCCTCGGATTAGTTCAGCTTGAGAGGCTGTGTCTATTGGGTTACGGGCTGCTAAATTGGGGTGTTCCAGCTGTGTGTCACAGGCCTGCGTCTATATTATAAAAAGATATAGAAAGTGCTGCTAAGACCTGAGGCTAGCCAGCTGTGAAATTGTCTCGACTGCTTGGCGAACAGCGATGCCCAGCTTCACTTCATCCGGGATAAGGGTGTGCAAGGAAAGCATTTTATAGACTTTCATTTTGTGGTTCTTTCTCTTTCTCTCTACCCTCTCTCACTTTTACATATGAAATATTTTGATATTAGTTTTGGCGAGAATTAATATTTTATGATGCTGCTTAGGGAGGCTTTAATTCCAGAGAGGCGTACCGTATTCAACACACCATAAAGCAAAAGGCATCATAGCGTTCATAGCTTGGCAGTAATGATATGAGAATGTGTGTGTGTTTGCGGGAGAAAGTGAGACAGAAAGGAAAGACATAAAACCAGAGAAGAGAGAGCGATTGAGAGACTGAGTGAGAAAAGAAAGAAATAAAACGTGTGTTTTCTTCAGTTACAAAGCGGATATTGCTTCTCAACACTAGCAATATGACATATATCCTCATAAAGTCATAATGGTAACCCCTCTGGACAAACAAACCAATACAAATAAGTGTAGAGACAGACAGACATACGCGCCGTCTCCCATACTGAGGTCACTTGAGGCAATCATGTGTTCTGCCATTTTTACTTTTAGGTTTGGATTGCGTCTCTTTATTCTGTTTTTCCAGTGGTCACACAGACCGAGAGAAAATAGAGGGGAGATGGCGTAGATGCAGACTGGAGGTTGGTGCTGAGGACACTAGTTGTTTTTATGTCCGCAATGAACTTAAGTCCATTTGACCTCAAGAATTAAAATGAAACACTGACGGTGTACACGTCATTTTTATTTTGTCTTTTGATTATTTATTTTAGAAATATGAATAAAGCTTTGAAAAAACAGTAATGGGTTTATAGGTGGGTGTGAAAAGGAAAAATGACTCAGTTTCCTTTTTTTTTAGAGAAAGGAAAGTTAACTGCAAAAACTATTATTAACAAATTCCTTTTTGGAAACCAAAATATGAGATGATATTTATGTATTGGTGCACATGGATATGTTGAGATATAAAAAATATATATGTATGTATGCATGAAAAGTGTTCATTTTCAATGTGTTGTTTAGTTTTTTTTAAAGAAGAATATATGTGCTTTTTTATCTTTCTGGCATTTATTTTACCTTTTAGTTTCTGTTCTGTTTCTGAATTGTTTAAGTACAATTCGAGACCAGGCATAAACAAATATATATTATATATATATATATACACAGAAGCTTTTGACATGTTATAAAAGCTTTTGCAGCAAATTAGAAATTTGAATACACCAAAAATGTAAAGAACCATATTTGTAAAATGTATCAAATAAATGCAAATCCGTGTAAATCATTACAATTAACAATCAAACATTCGTAGAGCTGTGTACAAAGGACAAAATTGTACAGTCAGAACAATAATCCTGATTCTTTCTCAAGCTTTATCAGATTATTATTATTATTGTTATTATTATTATCATAACATAATTATTTATGACCAAACGGTCATAAATAATTATGTTATGATAACAGTTTAGCCCATGTTCAACTTCTGATCAACCCTTACAGCGCTGTTTGCATGCCTTATCTATTAGGGATGAAAAATAAAGAATCTTTTCTGTTTATAAATATTGTTATATATCCAATATGAGCTGCATACTTTCCTAGGAGTTTGTGTACAGTATGTGTGAGTTTGCTTCAGACGCAGACGGAGAACAAGGAGATCACCAAAGAGTGCGTTCTTACCTTTAGCTGTGAGGTCAGAGTGCCACCAGCTGTACAAGTTAAACTCCACCAGGAATCTAAAGGAGGAGACGACATTGATCATAACAAATACATTCCATAAAAATGCTTATATCACAAATACTGTAACACTGTCCAAGGCATTCTTAACATTTTTACATAGGTGATTTAAGTTTCCCAAAAACTACAGTTGGGTACAATCATTTATTTTCACAAAAGATGATCAATTAATATTTAAAAGCAACTGTGACATTAAAATAAATATTTATCTTAAGGCCAGATATCCTATTTGCGGTACCGCACTTGATCTAGATTTGAGGCGAGCTCGGCCGATACTAGAAGGTGGAGTTAACACTGCAGAACAGTGCAACTCAAATGCAACTCAAATGCAACTCATGATAAACTGCAAAAACCCAACATTTTAAGGTGGCGGAAGTATTGTCAGTAACACAAAATAAATGTCTCACTTGCCCCAGTTTCAAAAAAGTGGCAGGACGCAAAACCACACGGTGATCCACTGAGAACAGATGTTCTTTGAGTGGTTTTAAGTTCACTTTCTCATATGTGGTTATTTATATTTGTATTTGATAAAGTGAAACAAACACATCAATTTGAAACGAAACACATAAATCAAAAGATCAATAATATTGCAAACATTTTCTGCACTGTGACCAGCTGTCAAATTAGCACTGACAACTCATTCCTCCCATGATGCACTGTGGCGACAACAGACCACCCAGGAAGACTCGGCAACCAAAACAAGGCATCACAGGCATACCCCGGCTACAGGAAACATCAGGTAGCCATTACTGCTCCTGATCTCTGATGATCAGGTCGATGTGCATGTGGAGACACTGGTAAACAAACATTCAGTTTCTACATAGCCACATACACACACTGAACATACACACACTGACAGGAGAGGCCACCATAAGAGTCCTCAAAACGCACATCTATGCAGCGAGCGTATGCAGGCAAAAGACACTTCACACACAACGAAGTCTTACATGACAAGCTCAGTTAGGATCCACTTTACAGCTGAGAAGAAAGCAAAGTACGGCTAAAGAAAGAAAAGAAAAAGGAAATATGGATCAGACATAAAAAATACATATTATGCTGTGCCCACGTTATGGAGCGCACAGGTTGGAAAACAATGCAGTACTCACATCTAACAGTGTGTGTCCACTGTCACTGCTCCCTGAGAAAGCCCAACATAGAGCCTGGTAGTCATACAGAGTCACCCTGAGTAAAGATAGAAAACAGAGGACAGGGAGTGAAACAGAGGCATCACAAATACAGATAAAGTAGGTTAAAACTGATAAAACCATTTTTTAGGAATATATAGCCCATATAAGGTGATTGAAGTGTTGATTCACACATTATCTCTGCTTTTACATGCCTGCAGGGCCTTTTGGAGTGCTGTGTGGGAGCAGGAAGCAAAGATCCCACCTCTGCTATTACTGCCGCTTTACCTACGGATAATATATTGGATGGATGTAGCAAGAATGGGGAAAGGAAAGCAACTGAAAGCCGAGAGCTTCCCGAGAGGTTTCTCAAAGTGATGTAGGAAGGTGGGTGTGTGTGTGTAGATGATTTGGGGATATTGGGGGGGGATATCAGAGGATTTAAGGGCTTAGTGGACCCTGAGGGTGTGAGGTCTGGGTCTGTCTGGGTGAGGTTATTGAAGGGGTTCCTAACACACACATACACAAACACACACACATTCACCTACACACTGGACGCTCTTTCTCACAGCCTGTGGACACGTTCCTATATACTTGAAATGTGCATGTGTGTCTAAGTGGGCCCGGTCTGTCCGCAGCCCTGGGCCATGTTCAGCACCGGTGACACACAGCTCCAACACGGCCAGGAACCAATTAGCGCTAAGCCAGGCCACGAAATGTTAGCAGCTAGGTTAGGCCAATGTAATGTCAGTCTATGAGTGTGTAACTGCTGTGTATGAGTATGGGTGTGCCAGCCTTAATTTGTTTGGCATTGGAGCATAACATCACTCTCATTGTTTTGATTGATTTCTCTTCCTATTGCTGGTTTTGAAGGATAGATAATCCTGAAGTAACTAAAAATATGTTGTCCTCATTCGTCTTCATCTGCAGGCTTAAAGCTGATGGATTAATCCAGGCTGGCAGCTTGGGGTCAACTTTAAGTGGCACACTTTGAAATGTCTTCAATGTTTTTTTTATCAAGACAAAACTTGTTTTGCATCTTAGCATATTCATTCTCCACAGATGGCTCCGGGTTAAGACAGATCACATTGGATTCATTAGTGATCAGCTCTATTGCTCATCATGCTCTTATTTCACCCACACAAGTCTTATTATTCATTCATCATATGTCGTACTTCATTTTAAACAACCTCTCATCATCTGACATTAAATATTGAGTGAAAGCACTTGTTGTTCTCTTTGTTTTTATGAGTGCGACAGTAAACCAAAGCTGACAGCTTTTGAGGTTCATCCTCATAATAAACATGTGCAGTTGTCTACTTGTTTGATGACTTGTCACCCATGATTTTTATACATGGAGAGCTAAAATCTCCTTACCCACTTCCCGAATACAGAACTGCAGAGATGGAAATGTGGTTGCAAGCTTCTGCAACTAAGTTCTCAAATAAGGTTTGACCATACAGTCAAACTACAATATGCGTCTGTCTGCTTCTCTGCAGTTCTGCACTAATACTGGGAAAGTTATCCTCCTAGGTTACATTTCCAAATTAATTGCAGAAAGGCGCCACCCACAGCTCCTGGCGTTTTCCAGGAGACACAGCTCTACAACAGGCACTAAACACATGAATGTGTCTACATGTGTGTGTCTGTGTGACTTCAAGTTTCTCCTAATTCCTTCGTTTCAGGAAAAGATTTGCTGTAATCCCCTAACGGAGAACTCTGCTGAGCGAAGGGTCGGAGTTCAGCGCTGAATAGCTCACCGCGATTGGCCAAGTTAAGAGCTGTCAGCGCGAGGGCAGACATGCTCTCATTCTGTGGCCTGCCTGATTTTATGCTCGTACAATAACACACACTCATACATACACTTATACACTTGTAAGAACACACTCATTCACCCCCACACACGTGCAGTTTGAAATACTCACCTTTTGAAAGAGCCCATCTGCAGGAGCTTACTCATTACAGCCCCCTCTGCTTCTCCAAAGAATTTCCCTGTCTGAGAAAGAAAAAGAAAGATATTTGATCTTATTTAATAAAACAAGTCATAGGACAATGTAAATGTCAAACTAACATCCCCTAAAACTGATGTGTTTGTAATGCTAGAAGCTCTTAAATGTACAAAAGCTGACTCGAGTCCAGGTTGGATTGAATGCGAGAAAACTTAAATTGCCAAACCCTAAAGCATGCAGACACCATCCCACATTGCTAAATGGTCTGTGGGATCTCTCCTTATGCTCCACCAAATGACCAAGTGGCCATGGCTGAAGAGAGAAATCATTGATGCAAACACAAACTGGCCTTTCTAGGGACAGATTTAAGAATACAATCTCCCACACACAATGCTTCCCAAAGTCTGTCATAACAATTTCGAATAGTCTGGAAAGAAAGGTCAACCATCTTTGGATATAGCCGCCCCACAACTGTCTCCTTCCCCATCATTTTCCTGAGCACAAGGTGACATTGTCAAATTGTGTCTGACTTGTAGTCACTCTATACATTCGAGAAAACATGTTTATTGTTTCCCGGATGTAAAGATGCCACAGGGGCAAAGGTATCAAATGATAAGCATTAGTCGAATCAGACACAGGACACAGGAAATTGCCTGAAACTAATAACACAGCCTGCAGCCCAATCAGAGAGACCTGCTCATGACATTTTGACGGATCACATTAGTATAACCTGCTTGGATGAAGGAATTGTTCTTGTCTTTCACAAGCACAATGAAATGAAACAACTTGACACGTGGAACCTTAAATGCTCCCTCACCTCTAAATTAGGATTAAATAAAGAATGGGTGCCAGCAAGTAAGGGACACAGGGAAATAACATGCAGATGGAGTGAAGGGCAGTGACAGCCAGCGGACTGGCTTCTAGATGAGCCAGACACACAGTGACAACATGTGTGGTGACAGCAGAGGGTTTATGCTAGGGGAGCAACATGACTCCTTGAGATCATTTGTGGCAACATGAGACGCAGGAAACATATCATAATTCTAATAGGAAAACAAATGTAAGGGGCTCATACTGTATGTACTTTTGATTAAAATGTTTGCTCAGTCTTAAGACACATAACATGCAATTGTAATCCAATACACTCTTTGCCAAATTCAGTAAGTAACTCCCCACATTGACTGTGATATTCATACACAGCGCTAGCTCTGTAAATGGAAAACACACTGAGTGGCTTGGACCGAGCCACCCAACGTTATACCGGCCACCAGCAACAGGGGGCGTTTGTTCCCGTGAACAGGGTCACGCTTTGGACGTATAAAGGACAATACATCTGGACTGGGGTGTTTGTTAGGGGTTGAGTTTTTTCCAGAATAGTAGCATCGACATTTTAAATAAATTGTTTAATCACAATTTATAAACAAATATATAATGTTTTTTTGATGTTTTTGCTGGTTTCATAAAAAGTGAATGGGCTACTAGCTCCTCTTGAAAAACAACTGTTTCTGAATGTATTCTTGATTTCTATTTTTGCAAAAAGGTGATGTGTTTGTTATAGCTATGGAACATTTTCCATTGATCTGTCCTGCGGCTCTCGTGTGTGTGTGTGTGTGTGTGTGTGTGTGTGTGTGTGTGTGTGTGTGTGTGTGTGTGTGTGTGTGTGTGTGTGTGTGTGTGTGTGTGTGTGTGTGTGTGTGTGTGTGTGTGTGTGTGTGTGTGTGTGTGTGTGTGTAGATGGCTTACCAGAGTGTAGTCCACTGCCACCAAAACAAAGCCGTTGTTGTCAATGAGGTAGCAGTTAATGTTCTGTTAAATGAAGAAAAAACTGTTAAAGCAATTGTGAGGAGTAACATTTACAGAATCGTGCAAAGTTGATGAAGAAAAGCAAAGACAACCAACCTCATCATCACAGCTTATGGAGCATTTCCCATCTAATGCTGCACACTGAAAGATACAAATAATTATATTGGCATACTGTGTATGAGTCACACTGAATATTAGGGCTTTATTGAGCTGCTCAGTATGCCTTTTAAACATGTATTGTATACCTGTGGTGTTTATTTTTATTATTTTATTATCTTTGCTTTGTAATGCCTGTTGTAAAATGTCATTATATAATGTGTTTTTACTGTATTTATTCATAAAAAGTCTTTTAATTAGTTTTGTAAAGCACTTTGAATTGTCGCGTACAGAAAAGTGCTATATAAATAAACTTGCCTTGCCTTGCCTTGCCTATTGGATTCCTTTGTCAGCTGAAAACATTTACTCCCTTCAAAAATCTTTGTGAAATACATTAATAAAACTAAACAGACTGATGACCTTCCCATGTTCAGATTTATACTGAAAAAATGTCATGGTAAATTTTTTCAAATAGACTTAAATGACTTTATTTGTTGTGTTTTTAAACTACTGTTAGTAAGTAGGCCTACTCTTTCCTATAGGTTATTTTACGTTAAGTGTGCTTGTAATATTGGTCTGAATGTGTATGCATGCATGATGTGTGTTTATGCCTCTTTACCTGTCTGCTGGCTGTCCAGAATTTCTTCTGAAAGAACTCCAGTTTCATTTGGATGCCAACAGCTGAAAGATAGACAACACATTCACAGAGACGCACTGTAACAACTGGACATTTGCGTGTTCTGTTCTGTGTTGAAGTGCAAGTGAACTGTGATCTTTATCACAACACCAATCTTCCCACAGGCAACACAGAGCTTATTAATGAATACACAGAGTCAAAGTTCACTAACTTTCATTAACCAACAAGACACATACATTGCAGCGAACCACTCCAGGCCAAAAGGGCAATTACACCCTGCATCATACATGTGTCAGCTTATATTTCTGGGAGGCTAAGTGTGTGTGTTTGTATTTAAAACAGTACTATCTGCTGACATGTGCACAGATGCCGCTAACCACACTGAAAATGCAGTTAAACACCATTCTAAAGCAGACTTCTCTCTCTGTGCCCACATGAAATCCATCTTATTTCCCAGTCTGCCTCCCTGTTGTTATCCCGATGGGCATTTCCAGAGTTGGTATACAGAGCTGCTCTCCCTTATATAAGCCTCATCACAGCAGGTCCCTAAATTCACAAATCTGACCAGAATTCCTTGCCTGGAAAAAAAACTGTTTCTGGCATTAAATGTATCAGTTTGTTCAGGGTTGGCTGAGGAAAGAATGACACATTCACCACAGGCTTTAACTTCCCTCCTCAACTCTTCGTCCCTCTACCCCCTGCTACTAAGACTCAGAGGTGGGGGTCTGCCATGCGTTGGGGTCTGTAAATCTTTCCAGGAGAACAATTTAAAGCTTCATCCACATGCAGAGAAGCCACAGGTAGTAAACGAAATGACGAGATTAGAATTCGGCATTTATCACATTAGACACAGTGGAAAGATAAAAATTGCAATGATAGAAAATGCAATGTGATACCAACTGATAAAAATAGATGTATGTATTTTTGTGAGATGTGTAAAGGTATTTCACACTAAATAAGAAGACTGAATGGAAGGTGGGTTATTTATATGTATCGTGCTTAAACAAATTAGTTCCAAAAACGTACAGAAGTCATAATGAGTTGAAATGTATACATGCAACAAGCTACAACAACAAAAGTGGGCCACCACCTATAGGGCAACACCGCATTAAGACAGTAACACATTGATTAACTCGTAATAGAGCAATCCTGGCTACACATTGCTAAACTCACATTTCAATTCCCAAACTGTCTGTACACATCTGCAGAAATCCCTCTGATGACTCATGTTGTTAATTATAGATTAATTAATATATATATTCATTTTTATGGGAGACATTTAGCAATATATGCATTATGTTTTTAGATATTCTAACTTATCAATGAATTGGTAGCTATTAAGCAGGAAGGATTTGATGTGAGTCAATTTTGTCTACCTGCAACATGATGAATATAATGCAACTTCTCAATTATATACTAAATATATAACTCAACAATTGTTATTCTTAAATTGCATAAACTATTACTTAAAGGTGGGGTAGGTAATTTTGGAGAAACCAGCTCGAGTGCGCTAACATTTGAAAATACACAGCCGGAAAAAATCTGCCACTTCCTTACAGAGCCCCTCCTCCAACACACACGAACGCGCACATGACCAATGAGGGCACGAGATAAGTTTGTGCCCCGATGGAAGGCTGACAGGCAGGTAGGCCATCCAGTTATTTTAGCCGGGCCGGCTAAGATGATTGGTCGTACTTTTTACAGTACTACGGCTTCCACAGATGACATTTTTTTATGGATTTGTTGTCAAAGCACTTGAGATATTCATTGCTATCGGGATGTTAAGAGCATTCCATGGAATATAACAAAAAGTGTATCTCGAGCCGGTTTCTCAAACTTACCTACCCCACCTTTAATCACGTTACACAATAGCAAATATTACTCTTTTATTATTATAGCTGTATTTCATTTACATTAGTTTATATTTTATAGTACCAAAGTTGTAGCAGTAACTATAAAATGAATTGTTTTACTGCCTAATGCAGGGATCAGGAAAGGCAACTGTGTGACCATGCTGTTTATATGTTATTGATCATAATGTAAAACAAATTAAAATGGGTTACTGTGAGGGATCCAGTACAGTCAGTAGCTTTTACAAAAATGCACTACAGAAAGCTTCACTGGTTGTCAACATGTGAATTGTCAGTGAGAAATATTCATTTGGTTTAATTCGTTTTAGTGTGCTCGTGCATTTATGTGATTGTCTAAGAGCAGTGTGCAGCGGGGTGCTGCTGTGGCCTGTTTTAGCCCTCGCCCAGAGGAACAGGTGCAGATTATCCCGTCATAAGCTTTGCCAGTTTCTTTCAGCAGCCCACCATTTCTACACCCACATGGAAAACCCAGGAGGAGAAGCTAATTTGAGATGCTGGGCAACAGCGTTGGAAACACACGTGGTGTAAAACCAGGGAGAACCTGGATCATAAAGGCAATACAACATACAGCATCCTCTACTTGAAAAGGTAGAAAGGAAACAGTCACTGAAAAAGAAAAAGATGAGGATGTCAAATGAGTACTGTAAGAACATGTAGACTTAAAATATCTCATCCAAAACATAAAAAGACTATTTATAAAATTGTCAATGAATAAAACTATATTTTAAATATCATTACATAATCGTTCAGCAAGGGAAATAATTAATGGAAACAGAAATCCAGTTTCCAGCAGTACAGAAGTCTGCTCTGTTAAATTGTAATTCAGGTTAAAAGTGCACTGATGCTGCCTGCTACCTGGAAGTTGGCTCAGAGCAAAAAGAGAAAAGCTTAAATCTCACTAATGCTCGGGAATTTCTGTCCAATGGGGAACCATTTAATTTCCCTAGGTATGATTTAAGAACTTGGGGGGTATTTATGCCTTGAGCTGGGTTTATAAGTCCAAAGATGAAGAGACATAAAATCCACAACAAACCCTTCCCATCACCAATCCGCTAGCAGTGCAATCCCAGGCAGGGAGAGATGACAACCGGTTTAAATCCTTCAGATATTTTGGATTCTGAAAAGGATTGAATAAATGTAGACATGAAGCAGCGCAAGAGGGCATCTGGGAGTTTGCAAGTATGTGTGCTCATGTACTACGTGCTGTGGCAAGGGTTAGCATTTACACCCCAGCCTCAGCACATTAAGGACAGGCATACACTGACATTTAGTACATATTTCACAAACACACACAGCTGTCTGAGAGATGCAGTGATTTCCAAATGTTATGTTGCTACACACTAGCACAGGGGGCGGATCGGGTCAAGATATTGAGCAACACTCAGAAGATGAGCAGAACAGGGTGCTGCTGTTAGTGATTCAAACAGTCTACAAGAGTTAGGCCCCACCGACCTCTCGCCCCTGTGTGTTCTTGTTAACGATTTAAAAAAATGATCAGATCTCAAATAGCTCTCTGGATAAACCGTGTGATTGGATAAAAAGATCATATTGGAATCATGTAAACCACGTTTGGAGTTTGCCCTTAAGGTGTTAATGCCACATGCAGTAAATGTGTCACAGGATATGCACATGGTGATAATATATGACAATCTGGTTAGAGGAGAGAAAAGTAGAGCATGTTTTTTTTCTTTTTTTAACATGTAGCACACATACAGAAGGCGGTCTGTACACATCAACAATATGGGGCTTTTAGCAAATACAAAGGTGTTATCACACATTGAGGATGTATTTGTCGACTGAGCACCCAAGTGTGCATAGGAGTGTCGGTGCAAGAGTGTGTGTGTGCAAGTGCATGACATGTAGTGGCAAACTTTATATGTAGTGGAAAACTCTATATGTAGTTCAAACTTTATATGTTACCTAATATGGTAAAACCAAATGCAGTAGTTCCATGATGATGTATTTCAGTTCATGTCCTTTTTCAACTTATGATTAACCTTAAGAATGTCTGGGGGTGAAACACAGTGTCGTGAGCAAGCTCCTTAGGAGCATCTGTGTGTCAGGCACAGTGTCTTGAACAAGTTCCTGTGTTTGTTCCCTGTCTTACAATGAGTTCCTGCTTTCCTCACTTCCATCTGTCTTAAACAGGTTCCTGTCTTTAACTAGTTCCTGATTTACTATATTAGCAATGTACAGTTTATGTTCCTCTGGAAAGCAGGCGTGGCTTATCTCCCCTTCCAGCCCTGCCATAGTGACAGGTGACGAAGTGTTGTTGAACTGTCAAGATCCTATAAAACCTATACACACCCTTGCCTCTGTGTGCACTCTTGCAGACTACTCTGTACTCTGTGAGACATGATTTAAAATAATCTTCATCTGTGCATTAATTGCCCATTGAACTCAATTTATATTAAAGCCAATATGACAGGACAAATATTTGTGATGCCCTTTAGCAGAGATACCAATATAGAGGGACAGGAGGCCAAATAGCATGGAGGGTAATACAGGGCAAGGTCAACTTGTAAGCTTAATCATAATCATTATTAAAAATGATTTGATCATTAATCTCTTCATGTCTCCTTTGTTGTCCATTTTAGTTTCCCCTTCAAGTGATGCGTAAGGTCATATAAGCTTAACAGTCAATCCATTGCCATGCTAAAACATTCAATTCCATGTGAATTTACTGCAACAGCTTAATATCTTGCTGTGTGCAAGTGTGCATTCGTGCGTTCTGTGTTGCTGTGCTGGGGGCGTGTTCTGCCAGCCCTTCTGCCCACGGCACATGCATAATATCATCAAAGCGTGCCACAGCAATGGGCATCCTCCAACTGCGTTCACTGTGTGCTGAAGTGTCTGAAGCATTTGTTCATATGACAAACCACAATCCAGATCTAATTTTGTCTTGTTCAGCTCTTGCCAGCGTAATAGGAGGTATCGTGGAGGTCTGCGTAGTGCGTACGTGTTTGCTGTATGATTCAAGAGGAACAACTGTCCACTGGGAGATGACACGCCGCACATTCCCCAGTGGATTTGATAGAGGAGCAAAGTAAAATCCAGCGAGAGAAAAGGGGGATAGTAACAAGGGTGGAAAAACAGCATGAAGTAAAATACAAGAGACAGAAAGAGAGGTTGAGAGGGAGTGAGAGAGCTAGGAAAGGAGAGAGGGAGAGTAAGGGAGAGAGAGCGAGAGAGAGATAGAGAGTGAGAGAGTGAGAGAGAGAGAGAGAGAGAGAGGCAGAGCTCCTTAACTGTAGTGATTCCCAGACTGGCTGGCAGTAAGCTCTGTGCTCTGATCTGCCCGCTCTGATGGGGTTTCATGCTTGTGCAGGCAGCGTTGGGGATCCTGAGGGCAACACGGGTCTCTGCTGCTGATCTCGGCCTCTCTGATTCCAACATATTGACCATATATGCCTACACAGGACAGCTAATCTCAACCTACTGACGGCTAATGGATCATCAACCAATAACAGTCACTAGAATCCAAAAAGGGAGCTAAAAGAAGACCGAATGCAAGCGGCCCAAGGACGACTGGCAGATATGAGAGGTAGGAGCTCCATCACTGGGAACAACGTCAACATCCATGTATTTGTGTGTGCGTGTGTGTGTGTGTGTGTGGGTTCATGTTCATGAGTGTATGGCTAGGTGGGCTGCTATCAGCTGCTGAGTTTAATATGTTGTATAAACTGTTGTATAACTGAGTGGTAATGAAGCATGAACTGCTCCTTGCTTCACTTCCTAAATGAACAGTTAAACACATGGCAGCACTAAATTCTCACTTTTAACTGTAGATAAACATGGCCTGTGCATGTTTCCCATTGTAAAAAGGTTTTGGTATCAAGTACATTTAAAACTGTACTTGCTGTGTGCTGTGTGCTTGTCATTACAAGCTTCTCTGTGTGTACTTTGGGTTGGAGGGACATATTAAAGCAAAGAGCCATTCTCCTGTGTTGACCTCATTTCAGAGCTGCTGTTACAATGCTTCACTGAGCTGATGCCGTTTCTGTGTGCCCGGGCATTGTATGTATATGAGTTTGTTTATGAGTACGTGCACACGTGTGTAAGCCCATGTGATTGAATGCATCCTTGCATACACACACACACACTCTAATTTCACTAACAATGATGCAATTAATACTAGGCTTTGCACTACAGCGCAGTACAACTCAAGTCAGCCGTGTTCTGATTGTTTTTGTTGACGCGAGCGACATACTGTAATCATAACAGCAACACTGCCAAGAGCTGCCGTACCAAACTAACACCTGAGATTAGACCTGGGAGCGCCTGCGCCTGGGTATTTATAAACCTGTAAATCACAAACAACTGCAAGAAGTCCACCAGTCAGGCTAAAACAAAATGATCATTACATGCTTGTAAATGGGACACTCAATGTTAATTAGTAGATTATGTTACAATAGTGTGTATTTAAAGAATAGAGCAGCAGTGGGAGAAAGGCGTTAGAATTTTCCCGATGAGATGAGTGTTGTGTGACCACCATCAAAACAATTACATTTTGCTAACATTAACATTCCTTAACTGATTATTACAGTAAAAGCTACTCAGTGTTTCCTAGATGTACCTGGGAATATGTTTCAGGTTGATATGAGACTCACAGCTGCTTCCTCACAAAGGCACATTTAGGCTGATATTTTAGTGCAAGAAAAAACCCAAGAAGATTAACGATATTTCCTATTCCCAATGGCAGCGTAAGGTTTCAGAAGAACATTTTATACTTATGAAGATAAACATGGTGCACAATAATCAATCGGGTTAGTGAGTGTATATTTTGAGCAAGCTTTGAAGGCCTGGGTCGGAGCCATATTTCATTGAGCCTCAAGCTAGTCCAACCAATGCTATAAATACTGATGTTATGTTCCAGAAGGAATGGCGATGTGAAGTCATCTCAAAGGGAATCAGACACCCAATATCTGCTGTGTATGGATTTGTGTGTGGGTGTAGTGTGGGTGAGGGGTTATAGGTCTGTGGTGGAGTCACCAAGGGCCACTGTCTAAGAGACGGTGGGAAGTGGGAGTTGGCATATTAATAATAAGTTTACTTTCTTGTTTGTTAGACTAAGAACAGCACTTTCTGAGCAAAAACTAAGTGAAGTGCATTGTTTTTCTAAATACTTGTTTGGAATGCATTTATATGCACTTAAATCTCTCTAAATAATATGTGACGAAGGCATTCATTTAATTTAGTGATGTTGGTCATGATTACAGTTGAAGACTGTCGTGTGAATTATATAATAGTAGTTAAAGGTATGGCTTAAATAGATCACATCTTAAGTTTGTTTTCATTCTTAGCTGCACAAACAAAAGCACATGCTCAGAAGTCAACTCAAAATATGTTCTCCTGTCTCCACAGTGGTACTGGTGTGTGCCCTCCTCTCCCTCCTCTCTTTGTCACATGCCTGTCCGAAGGAGTGTAGCTGCAACGGCAACACCAAAGTAGTAGACTGCCGGGGTCGAGGCCTGTATGACATCCCCAAACGACTGCATCCGGAAACTCAAGAACTGTATCTCCAAGATAACCGTATCAGGGGGCTGGGATCTATGGCTTTCAGAGAAATACCTCTAGTCCGGATTCTCGATCTATCTAATAACTCTATAACCACTGTTTCGCCGACTGCGCTGCTGGGACTCAGAGCTCTACAGCGCCTCAGCTTGGCCTACAACAGCCTGAGAGAGCTTGACAAGCGGTTGCTTGGGCCCATCCGCACACTTTCACACCTTGACCTTTCACACAACAGGTTAAGCAACTGACTGAAACTGTCCATTGTTGAATGATACAAACTGTAAAGTTAATCCCAAATAACTGATTGCAATGTATCTTGTTTCCTTTGCATGTCCCTTGATGCAGCCTGTGGGGTTTGCCTGGAGCCTTGGGGGAAAGTTTGAGGAACCTTAGCCACCTAGGGCTATCGCACAACAAGCTAACAAGATTGGACCGCTCACTTTTGGAGGTCCTGACCCACCTGGACAGCCTCACACTACGAAACAACCCCTGGAGGTGTGACTGCCAGCTCATAGGCCTCAAACTATGGCTGGAAACCTTCATCTATAAAGGTTAGACCACTAGTAGCTCTTGGCGTGCTGGAGGAGTGTTGGTAATGTTTCCAACATTCAGCCATCTCAGTGCCTTCCCTGCTGGTCATTAGATAATGGTAATATCATATTATGATAACACTGACCTTGAACACAAACAGGTATTGTACAACTTTGAGGGATTAAAATCAACTGACTGACCCCAAATAGATATAATGTTTATGTCTGTTAAGAACAGGCAAGTTACTAAATACGGGGAACTGAGTGCATGTGTGTCTCTTGTTGTTTGTGTAGCTGTAGAAAGAATGTAGGTTGCTTTTATTTGTATTTGATTTGTACTGAGGTGCGTGATACAACTGTATAGGATAAAGTTAATTTGAGGATTTGCAACATTAGTAAAGTAGGGCATTGTTAAATCAAATTGCCTTACCTTAAAGCTTGTTTTGAGCAGTAATAAGAATGATGTTGTGATGTTAGGCACTCTCTGCAGCATCTCTACAGCGAAATATAGTGTATTAAGAGTTAAATAGCCAACCACATTATTTTACAGGCAAGATCAAGCCCCAAAATAACCACTGTACAGTGAAAGCTACGCTCGCTTGGAGTGTGCTGGCCCGCCTACATGCCTATGTTACCCTGACAAAGCTCTCGTCTTAGAAGCTGAATATTCTAATTACTGCACAACAGAACAATGGACCCAGATAAAAGGATGTATTCTTAATAGAAAGCCAGTGGTTAATCAGGCAGAAAAGGAAGTGTGTGACATGGATACCAAGAGATGAATAATAAAAGCTTCACAGGGCAAACAGTCAATACAGTCCCAATTAATTGTTCTCAACACAATTAAATTGGATCCAGACATCGAGGTGTTAAACAAATCAAATTGCTATTATGTTCCATTACAGTAAGCCTTTACAACCTACATTATTAAATGTATGAAGTAATGGGCTGTTTCAAGCTCGGCTATGATGATAAAGATTGTGGCCTCCTCTGTAGTAAGCTGCCAAAAAGGAAATGGGCACTTATCAAGAGGTAACGTAATTAGAATGCAACTGACTGATGCATGCCTCCATATTCTTTCCTGCTCCTTAGTCGATCTTCTACTATCCTCCGCTGACCTAACTATTTAACTCTATTCCCAAGGTGGAGTGGTGGACGAGGTGATATGCACACAGCCAGAGGAAATGAAGAACACAGACCTGCAGAAGGTCCCTTACCAGCTCTTCCACATCTGCATGACCTCAAGCTACCATTACCTGTTTGCTAACATACACCACCTGGAGAATGAGAGGCTACTGCGAGGGCACACCCATGGTAACCATGCTCATCCCTCTAGCCATGCTATCCATGTACCCATGGCAATGGGGGAGGGTTTTGGAGGAGGCGGAGGAGGAGGAGGATCAGGTTTGCCAGAGTGTGAACCTAAGCAAAGGCACCGGCCTGTCAACTTGCGCCATGCAATTGTCACAGTGATCATCACCGGAGTAGTTTGTGGGATTGTGTTTCTGATGATGCTGGCTGCAGCAGTGTACGGCTGCGCCTACGCTGCTATCATGGCCAAATATCAGCGGGAGCTTAAGAAGAACGAGGAGCTGGCAGCAGCGAAGGGGGCAGATCATGCCAAAGCAGATGAGAAGGAACTACTGGAGAATGCTATCGCCTAGGAGATGATATCTCGAACCCTGGACATAAACCTGAGCCTCGACCCTTTAACCTAATCCTCTCTGTGGATGCTGTGTGTGTGTGTGTGTGTGTCTGTGTGTGAGTGTGTGTGTTGGTGCATGTGTGAGAGAAAAGAAGAGAGTAAGATTATTTGTGTGTGTGTGTGTGTGTGTGTGTGTGTGTGTGTGTGTGTGTGTGTGTGTGTGTGTGTGTGTGTGTGTGTGTGTGTGTGTGTGTGTGTGTGTGTGTGTGTGTGTGTGTGTGTGTGTGTGTGTGTGTGTGTGTGTGTGTGTGTCCTTCTTTCTGAGACGTTGGTAGCTAAACTCTACAGGTATTTGACTATGCACTGATGAGAAAAGTATATTCTGATGTATGCGGGTTCGAGCGGGAAGGCCAAAGAATCCAAAAGGAATCAATTCCATTTTGTCTGAGTAATGCATATCACGGATAGGAAGTATATATTTATAATTGTATATTGGTAGGTAAAATAGTAAAGCTCTGGTATTTAAAAAAAAAGAAAAAAGAAAGGATTTCAGAATTTGTTGTCTTTTGGTTTGTTGTTCATAACTTTGAGTCTAAATTTGAGGTAATTTTGAAACTCATAGTAGGCAGCTGCTGTCAGTTAGGTTTTGTTCTAAGATGTTTGTATCATTGATGTGAGAGCATGAGAAAGAATGAGTGTTTGTGTCAGTGTTTTATTTGTGCTTGAGTTTATGCGCGGAGATGTTTACTGTATGCACATATTTATAGAGAATTTAAGAGTCTGTGCCTAATAACGTGATATAGTTCTGAAGAGGGAATACAGTATGTTTTCCTAAAGGATATTTTTCTGACAACTACAATGAAGATGGGAAATTCGTTGACGCAATAATGAAACAAACTAAAAAAGAAAACAACAACAAAACTTGGACTCGGCCTTGTTGTTTTTCTATGACTTTACAGGTTTATGAGCTTTGATTATCATCCTGCTTCACACGGTCACAAACACACATTTTAGATCTACAGCTTTTTTCAGATCAGTTGAGTCTTGTTTTTGAGTTAATGCTGATTACATAATGGTAGTCATGTCATTCAGTATGTAATATATAAAATAAAGGGAAACATGTTATTGGGATATTATATTTCTGCTGACAACTAACTTGAGATGGCATGCATCTTTCAATTGAAAAAGTATCTTAACAAGAATTGTAATGGTATTTATAAAAATATATATATTCACTTTGGAGTACATTCTACTGTTTAAGTGATTTTTCTCTTTGTTTACTTACTTTAAAAAATATTTTAATCTTGTGTCAAATAACCTGACAAGAGAAAATGTTGAAACACACAAACATTGAAATATTGTGGTTTATACTTAGTATAGGAGACGCATCTGAAGGCATGGTTGAATAGTGCCCATATTTATTGGTACTGTTACCAGGGAATTGTAACGTGTTATACAATGCAACTGCAGGTATATCTGATTGCTCTCTCTTGACTATTTTAATATTTGTAAAATAACACAAAGAAGATAATCAGTCAATGTGTGTGATTATATAACCTAAGAAAGGTTGTTGTGTACATAACTAGCTACCATTATTTTATCTATAAAGCAATAGCTAGCTACTGTAAGCTTACTCAGTGTAGTATGAAGCACATGAATGTGTACAGATGCTTTTCGTCTTAATGCCGACCTGAGTTTTGTGACCGTATAATACGACAGCACACTAACTGCACGTGGCTAAGGATGTGACCACAAAAACTGACATACACACACAGACACGCTGGAATACACATGCATGTTTGTACGGACACGGTAACATTGTGACTCAAGCGTTGTCTGCAGGGCCCATGGTGTGTGATGTCATCAGCCTGTCCTGTCCAGTTAGTGTATTAGCGTATTCACAAGTCTACAGCTCAGTGGAGCGCAGGGCAGTGAAAACTGGCCCTAACCGGTCCACCATAAATTTGCATTCAAGCCTACATCTCTCCTCCCATCTGACTCTCTTATATAAAATCATCCTTACAGACATCCTCCGATCTGACAAGCATGATCGTAATTACTGTACATCAGCGCCCAGTGTAACAAAAGGGTATTCATGAAACCTTCTCACCGAATAGTCATTTGGATTGCTGCTAAACAGGATTTGAAAGAATGATATTATCTTAAAACAATAGTGATCAAGTCAACAGTGTCAAATAATACCGTGGGCTGGTGTAAACTGTGGGATGCTTTTGTACCGCTCTGCTAGAAATCTGATGCATTCTCTATGTGTGTGTGTTTGTGTGTGTGTGCGCATCGTGGCACTGCACATACTCTCCCATCTCTGTCCTTCTGCTCCAGTGGTTTCCCCCAGGCCAAGAGTACCCACAATGCACTGCTTTCATGTCAACGCATTCAGGCACCGTGAAATAATTTTCTCCTTCTCTGCCCTTTTATTTCCTCTCTTATTTTATCACTTCATTTCCCAAAGATTTGTATCTTTCTGCAGCATTTCTCTCCCCTGTCTATGTATTTGTGATCCCTAGGCTTTTCTAGCCCTCATCTGTCGACAAGAGAACATACATAGATAGTCATCAGCAGAGGCTTTTAATATGAGCCAAAGGCTGTGCACCAGATTTGTCCCACATATGTTGGGCAGTGGAAATGCTACTTCACATGCTGCAAACTACTGTATATTTGAATAGAATACTTTCACAGTCAAGATATTTCTTTTGGGTGTTGTTTACAAAAGCTTTTTATGCAACATTTAGTGTGAAAATACTGGACAAGAAAAGACGATGCAGAGGATAAACATAAAGAGTGTCGGTGGCACCTTAAAGAAGCATAGCTGCCTAAAGATTAGCATTAAGCCAAAAACACATGGAGTCAGTATAATTAGCTGACCTTAACATGTCCCTTTGAAAACTAGCCGCTGGAATAAAGATTTAAAAGAACAAGGTGCTTCCAACTTTCTTTATGTTCATTATTTGCAAACACAAATACAAGTTACTTCTAACTTGTCATTTAAATCTGTACTTTACAGTACCACAGTCAACGTATTGTGTTTGGTAACGCATAATACACAAAACGATGACTGGAAGTCCTCATGTGCTTTCAGGGAGAATTGGGTAATGAAGGATGTCATATAACTTTGGAACCATAATCACTTTGACACCATACATTTATATACATTTTTTCCCCAAATGTTTCATTTCTTCCATTTAATTTGAATTTCCTTCCTCCATAACTGAGTTGATGGCAAACAGAACAAGGCTGCTCTTCATTCCATCAACTTGCTGATTGCAGCAAGTTGCATTATATGTCCGTGACATTGTGGCGCTTCTGAGTCACACGGACGTGAGAGGAGGCAGGCCACAATGAAATCCTCTAGGCCACATTATGCCTTAAATAATCACAGGGGAAAGAACTAATGCACAAAAGGCGTTTAAGAAACTGGTTATTAATATATGTAGGTATAAATAGTCTTGGATGCAAACGTCTGTGCCATGTTACACTCTCGCCTCCTTATGACGTTCATGCAGGGGCAAGCGCACGGATAGAGAAAGCAGTACAGTCAGTACATGTGGGCAGTGAGTGTTTCATCTCAAAAAAAGGAAAATAAGTAGGGTTAGTACTGTAGACCAGGAAAACAAAGCCTACATAGCACTGTAAGGAGAGATATCGCAGCGTCTGTCAATGTAGAAGTGAGTGTGAGAGAGAAAGAGCCACTTGAGTCCCCACTTACCCGCAGCTATGGGTGATTTCCTCTCATCCAGAAGCTGAATGGCGGTGCTGGCCAATACCACACTCTTGTTTTCTGATCCTAAGACACACACACATGAAACAACACACAAACACAACACGCACAGGCACACAAGGAGTTCAGATCACATGTCATAATTCCTTATATGAGTTATGAACTGACCACAGGGTGATTGGAGAGAGAAACCTTAATACCACAGAGTACTATTTCATGGCATCAGCTAACTGCCACAGTCCTACGAGGAAGAGTGCATCCAAGGCAAGTCCGACGAGTAAATAAGAGGCTTTCAGATCACTTGTATTAGCTGGCACTAATGGAAAGCCTGAGGCCGAGGACAGATGAGAACACATTCCCCCTGGAATGGAGGAGAAACCATTTTGTAGAGCCATAGTTAAACTGTAAAGGCGCGAGGGGCCTGTGTGTGTTTTTTGTGTGTCTTTTTGTGTGTTCTGGCCAAGTCACTATGGAAAGGGCTGAACCTCCTCCTAACGTATCTTATTTCAACCCACAGCAATCAGTCCTGTCCACAAGAACACAGCCCAGAATTAATAAGGGAGGAAGGGGAGGTAGGGATGCATGGGAAGAAAAATAACCAAATAGGGGTGAAAGAGGAAAAGAGGAGATGCAGGAAATTTGGAAAAGGTAATTTCTAGTAGTACTAGTATTACTAGTAAGTGAGCATTTTAAATGTGCATTTGACAAAAAGTTACTATTAAATTGGTGCCAGTCATATAGTGATTATCGGTTTCATTGTGTTACATTAGTAATAGTGACTGTGTAGATCTAAACACATTTAAATAAAATGTATAATGTTTTGAAGGTTCACATTTATAGCCAACCTGAGTTGAAGGGTAGCGAGTAGACGAAGGTCCCAGGAACTTGTTCTGCTGCCCTCTTGTACCACAGGGGAAAGTGATCGGCGTTGAACACCCCCTCTTTGTCTTCAGCTGTCAGGAAGTCTCTTGAAGCAGACAGGGAACAAAGGGGATGAAGATTCAGAGGATGCACACGCACAAAACACAACATATAATCATGGAATATTACATAAAGGCAATCAACACATGCACTTTTTAGCTTCTATGTGAGTAAACGTACTTATAAACTGCTACACCGAGTATACTTACTGGTTTGTGAGCTCGTCGGGCACCACAAACAGGTTGATCCTCGACAGGCCTGTTCTCGAGCCCAGGTAGGCAATCTCTACACCTTTATCTGAGTTCCTGTGTAGTAGGACAAATAAAGTAACCCGACTCAATAAAACAGAACAGAGGCTTTAACAAACCTTAGATTTTGGTTTTTACTAAAAGCTATTTCACGCCATTCTTAACATTTAATTTCTGCAAATGTCTGTAGCATTAGCATTACTATTTCAGAGAGTAAAACATTCCGTTTGTGATTAATTAATTACATTTTTTTCTTCTGTTTTTGACAAGAATATGGAAGAATAGAGTGGCTCACTCACTCCGACTTGTTGAGCACGAGGCTCGTCCAGTAGGCCTCCAAAGGGGCCGTCACCACAGCGTCAAACAGAACCTCCTGGATCAGCTCCTTGTCACCTGACAACGCAAATTAGTTTTTTTTACATAAAACAACCAGAACATATGAAAGCTATTTAATTATATGAGCAGAGAGTTGGTGGAAGAATTGAACTAACATTGTAGGTGGGGTTCATGTCCACTGAGGTAGAGTTTGATTGCCTCTATCTGGGACAGGTATCGGTGCTCTGGGTGCTCGTCTGTATTGCAGTATGTCCTGCAATTTAATAAGAACCGGCAATAAGGACATTTGGTATAATAACATGTAACAAAGTCATGATTTGCAGCAGCTATTTGAAAACGGTGCTTTAAGATGATTATCTGCCTAAGATTGTAATCACAACTCAAACTCCAACATATAGACAGGTGGCTTTTTGCATTGCACAGCATCTATGATGAATTAAATGTGAAGTAAAACTAAAAAGGTTGACTCATTTACCAGAATTAGTTTGAATTCTTTTTACTTTACTTAGATGTTGGGTCCTAATTTTTGTGACCACAATTCATCAAGTGACACAGACCATCAAGTCAAAGTCCTGCAGAGCTGTTAACTCTTGTAGTGCTGTAGGAATGTAATTTATTTTTATTTTATAAGTACGGAAAATAATAAGGATGAAGTCCAATAACAACGTGACTTGAATAAGAAATGAGGACGATACTGTTAGAAACATACGGCATCATTAGAATACTCTCACCATTCATCTGCCAGCGCTACATCAGGATGCTCCAAGTCATGAAGTCCTAAAAAGAAAATGAGAACTTCATATCTCAAAAGCATAGCAAAACCACTCAATCTAAAATCATAATAATAGGGGTAGGCACCTAGACCTTCGAAAGCACACACTTTTAATCACACACACCAGGGGTGAAAAATGTGTTTTTTGAATGGATGTGACAGTTCTGATTAGATCAGGAAGAGCCAAGTCATGCTCAGAGGGCTCCGCATGATGGACATGTTTGGAGAAACACACACACACACACACACACACACACACACACACACACACACACACACACACACACACACACACACACACACACACACACACACACACACACACACACACACACACACACACACACACACACACACACACACGGATAAATAATCAGGGGCAAAAACATTGCACTCTCAAAACAGGGTCACACTTAGGAGTCATTAAATAAATGTTTAACTTCCTGTCCAATTGTGGAAATGTTCATTATTAATTCATAATTTCTGAAAGAGTGTGTGAGCGTGTTACACAGAGAGAGAGGCACACAAAGAAAGAAAAGGAAGCAAAAAAGTTGCATAATGAGATATTCAGTGGTGGATGTGACTAAATAATTTGTTTCTATTGTATGCTACTTTATACATATAAATTGTACACTTTACTAAATCCATAGGATTCCAAATCTACATTTTAGATACAAATGAACAGCTCATAAATGATTGTGCATTGTAATTTAGCTACCCAACATTATCTCAAAAACATAAAAGCTTATATATTAATCCACCAGTAATAACAATACTAGTATATAATATAAGTAAGACCTTAAGAAAGCCATTACTTTGGTAATGGTGGAGTTGCCCTATACATTTCGTAAGAAGGCTCAGTGAAGGTATTTAACCCAAGCGTAAAAGTGAAGCATACTTCAGTGAAACTTCTTACTCCGTGATTTTTGTTTCAGACGTTTACCGGAAAAAACTCTTCTCATCAAATATAACAAAATTAAACACAATAAACAGATGAGGCACTAAAAGCTAATCAACAAATAGAGTGCTCTCCAGATTTCATAGCTTTAATGACATTAACTAACAAGCGCAAAAATCTTGTTATACATATTTGTTCATCAGAAGCTCGCTCATTATTACATCCTAATTACACTTTAAGTGATGCAATTATAATCCACAGAAAATCAAATACTATCAAATATAAATCGGAGTTCTTCCTCCCACTGCATAAATGACTCTTACATTTTGTAAGTACACCATGCTTTTGTATTTTACCTCAAAACAATTATTAACGCCATGTTCACCTGTAATGAAACATAGTCATATTTAAATAATATTATATAGTGTCAAATTTGGTATTGGTACTCTTTTCTTTAAGTAAATCTGTATGATTTTTACTATCCTGCTGTATAGTAAATACATTTGAGTTGAGTGCAAATTAGTGACAAAATATATAAATAAATACAGATAGGGGTAGAGGGGGTTGAGAAAACAGACAGAAACAATACAGGAAACAAATGAGCAAAAGTGAGGAAATGCAGATTAAATAAAAGAAAGATTTCCCACCTTCCTCCACTGTGACATTCCCTCTGAAGAAAAACTTTCCATGGCCTCTGGATAGGGCTACCCCCAGACTAAAATAGAAATACAAATGTGTTCTTAGATGACAGAAAGACAACTGTAAATACTGGCACCTCAGTCCTTCTGGAGCTTATTCACTTGTCAACAAATGTATCCTTTTCCTACCTGAAAGGAGTCCCTTTGATGTCTGTGTAATAGTAATCATTATGCAACACCAGCACACGTTTCTGAAATAAAAGAGAGGAATACACTTTATTATACGCTGCAGTAAACAGTGGGCAGTGTGACAGCGGTTATCTGATGTGATGTCCTGCTGTCTGGCTCCATCTAGTGGATTAAATGGTCCGGTTGTCACACTATCTGCTACTGTGCTGATGGTGTTTTTACACTGCGTGAATAGTTGGATAAGGATTGTGAATATGCATCTGTGTGTACATTTGAGAGAGTGTGTGTGAATGAATTAACATATTGAATGCTTAATAATCAGGCTAATGTATAATGCTCTCTACTAAGCTTAGAAAATGCAAAGTGTACACACACACACACAGTCATGCACACCCACACAGACACACAAACATGCACACCCACACACCAACACACACCTGAATGCCTCTCTCTCTCTCAGATAGGAAAGTAGTAAACGAGAATCATTGGGCTGCTGTCTCTCCAGTGCTCAGCAACATGTGCTTGGTGAAGATAAGGGGCTCAACTCACAGACAGACACACACCCGTGCATGCATAGCAAACAAAATCAGAAACAAAATCCCCAAGTCAATCCTGCATATCACCGTGCCAAGTGTGACAACCCCTTGGCAGGGTGGATTCTCTCTGCTGGCACACCTTTTTGGACCATCAGAAAAGTGCTTGTGTGTGTGTGTTGGGTTAATGTCTGAATTTTAGATTCCTCACCCCTTTGTCAACACTCTTCTTCACCTCCATGGAGAAGGTCCCTGTCTTCCTGTTGACCATGGCATTTCTCAGCTAGCAACACAAAGCACATACCAACTCTTAAACATCATATTTGCATTGAGTACTGCGATGAGGCTTATAGTGGATTTACTCGAGGGTCTCACCGTGTCCTCCTTATCCTCCCATTCCACCTCGAACAGATCCACACTGCTGTAGTTTGGCTTTCGCTTTCGCTTCTTGCCATCTCCATACTGGACACACAGGCACATGGAAACACACATGCATGCACAGTTAGAAAAAATGTGAAGCTAATACAAATATTTTGCACCACACTAGGGCAGCATCCAATTATTTAATTTTTGTACTATAAATGAATCTATTTTTCTTTGTATGGCCTGGTTTGTTGGTCATTCAAATAACAATTTCCCAGAGCAAAAGGTAACATTCTCAAATTGTTCAATTTAAAATGGTATAAAAACCAGATAAAATCATAATTTCAAACGCTGAAATAATTGACAAATGATAATGAGCATGTCTTTTCTATCAGGACAGGAGACAGTTGGCCTAGCTCTGTCCAAAGTAACAACAAATCCACATAATGGCACATTAATAACTCAGTTTTAACACACTATATTGAATTTGTTTCATAATAATCCAGAATTAGATCACGTGAATGTGATTTTCAATTAACTAACCTTTATAAGGTCAGACGTGTTAAAGCATCAGAACATTTAACAGATGATTTTGAGGCCAGAGAATCTAATGTGTACTATATGTGTGTCTTTGTGTGAGTCCAGCTCTTCATTCATCTGTGGACAGCCTCCCACCCATATATACAGTCTATGCTCCCACCCCTCATTAGTTGTTAAACACTGTTCATTAACGTCTTTAATTAGACTGCAGTTAAACAATCTGTCTGTCCCTCTCACTGTCTGCTCTCCTCCTTGTCTGCTGTCCCCTCATCCCTCTCTACCTCTCCTTTTTCATCCATGTGTTGCACCCTGCTTTGTCACCCTGCACCTACTCTCACATTAGGCAGGTCCCTTGCACTCCTCAATCCCCCCCCCTGCTCCCCCAACCTTATCCTCTTGTGATAGGAGTGAGTGAGTACAATAGAGTTAATCACAGCCATTCAGAAGCTGTATCTCTGTCTATTCACAGCACAGCAGAGGCCTGGAACACACTCTCCTCATCTACATACCGACACGCAGCCAACAGACACACACACCGCGCGGCAAAGAGAGCAGCCGCACAACTACGCACTAATTTTCTCCGTCAATCGGCAACTCAGTGTGACAATGAAATCAGTAATTGACTCGACATGAACACAAGAGTTGGTATTCCTCAGTTGCATGTACAAAATAAATGATTACATTTAACTTCAATCTCTAGAAGGGATTGTTATGATAATAAGGTTCATACTCAGTCAACTTGTTACAGAGCAACTGCATGGTGCTGGGGGGAATACTCACAAGTGGCCGTAGATCTGGGTGTGTGAGGATGTAGCCGTTGTTGGTGATTGCAAAGGCGTAGCCATGGATGCCCAGCTAGAAAGGATACACGCAAATGTGGGCGCACACACACACACACACACACACACCAAATTAATGCATGACAAATCTGTACTCAATTTCAAATCTGGACTAATCAAGCTCTTTGATTTTTTTTACTGGCAGAATAATCTCCGTCTTTGTGTGGGAACTCACAGAACTCCACAACACAAAGGAGGTGGTGTAATTAATCTACGTCTGGACAAATAATACACTTTCAAATGTCAAAATCTTACACCCAACCAAGCTTCAAATCTACAAGTGAAAGACATCATCAGGATGTGGCGGGGAGCAGTATCAGAATGTATTAGTATAAAGTGTATAATTGTCCTGTCATTATTGGACTTGAGGAAAGAGCCGTGAAAAATAATTTTCAAAAGTTCAACAAAGAAAATGTGATTTATCTATTTCTGAGTTTGCCATTCAATTACTGCACCTACAATTGTCTGAGTTGGACTGGCATATTCATGTATAAGAACAACTTTACAGTACATAGCTGTAGTTTTTAATGACTCAGCATCCTGGAAAATGGCCAATTCCTTCAGTTAAACAACATTATAATAAAATGTGTGATCATCTTGAAGGGTTTCTGCTATAGCCATTAAGATCCAATTTATTTTAGGAGTAACAAATTGACGTTGGGTGCACTACCTTGTATTTGGGAATGGTCTTGAGCAGCTCAGACACAGGCACGTCCGTCCCAACCACCCCCAGCAGGATGCCTCGGTTTCTCTGGAAACACAGACATTACAAATATTACAAGTTGCATTTTAAAGGTTAATTAAACAGCACAGACTCCTACAGATCCACTGTTTATGACAGTCAAAATCCAATCTATAATATATATTGAATTAGTGATGCTCTATTGTTTCCTAATTTACAGACTCTAATCAAACTACAATTAGTGTCCATCAAAAATGAACATAATTAACCATTATTTCACAATTTGTGTCGATTGTTTCAAACCCTAATTCCTTGTCAATTATGCAATACGTAATTGCATAGTTTTTCAATTAAACTAAGCTGTTTTGTTGGAGCAAAAGAGTTGGAGAAACATAATGGCAGTCACAGTGAATGTGCTTTTGGTTCTATAGCAGTAAATGTGCACTTACAGTCTCATTCTTGGTACTGAACACTGGCATTGCCACTGTGGTCATCAGAACCGGACCTTTACCGTCGTCCATCTGAGTCATGAGGGGAGAAAGGTGAGAGACAGCCATTGAGAGGGTGAGGAAGGACAAAGAGAGACAGAAGGAAAGCTAATGATGAAACATTATAGTTACAAAAGAAATGTAACAACATGGCATATTCACATTGTATGAATCATCTTTCCGTGTATGATTATCTCAAGCTGCATAACACTTGTTCTTTAAGTAGTGAACCTGATAGGACTTCTGCAGCAGTCATATTATCTTCTTGAGGGACCTACAAAACTTCCATGACATGTTTTATTCATGTTTATTATTTGCTTTAAAATGTGCTCAATCACAGCCTGCCTTTGATGTCTTGCAGAATAAGCTTATCCAAAGGCAGTGCCTTTAGTTTGGATCTGGGTATCTTCCCCCCTTAAAGACTGCTGGAATAATTATGATATTTATCTTTCCAGCGGCTGCCTGTATCTGACGATGATATCCATTAGAGATGAAAGCTTGACTCTCTTATGAAGATACTGGAGAAATGCTTCCCACTCTGCAAAAATTGGTCCGACCTTGTCCACTCAGAAATGTCAAAACTGTCTGAATGTCAGTCACTCACGCAGTTTATGTTCTAGTCACCACGAGTAATTGGTCCATTTGGTGCATTATGAAACCCAGTTGTGTCAAAAAAGATAAATCATGTTGCATGTGATCCATTTCTGCTACAGCTATCGATGTAATATTCATCTGTTAGACTTAGATCCCACTATAGTACTTTTTCTCAGAAAACTGCCCTATTAAACCAACCCTCTTAACTGAACATTACACGCTTTCTGCTCACTCTCCTTCCTCAGGGGCTCACCCCCCATCTACCTCCAGTAATAATAGGTAATGACAGGAAACTGCTAGCATCCATTCTCTCTCCCTTAGACACTGAGGAAAAGGGAATTGGTGACCTGAGCTCAGACAGCTGGTAATAGCAATTCAGTACGCAGGATTGGACATCAAAGAGAGAGCAGAGCACAACTAAGTACAGCTGCGGTAACAATGGTCAGCCTTGCTGCTGGAGTACAGGATCGATCAAAGGACAGGGCAAATGAGAAGAGCCTCATCTAAAAATACAAAATCTATTTCCAAGCTCTAGTCTATTGGATCATATATCAGAAGTCTGCAAAGGTATGGACTGAAAGTTATCCCATCACATTTTTACATTGTGTAATCTAGTGCAAATCTAGAATTGTTTTATATTTAGTACATGCTTTTGTTCAAAATCAGGGTTGCCAATGCCCGCAACAGATGTGGCCAGTCCCCAGCAGACCTTATACATATGTTTAGGTCATGGGATGTTTAAAATAGAAAACTGAAAGTGAGCATTATGTTTCTGTCCCTTTCTTATTCTGCAATTGTATATGTTGTACTTGTGATGCTCAATAAAAAATATATATATAAGAAAGAAAAAATCAGGGTTGCCCAGCTGCTCTGGGAAATGGCTTACTGTAATCAAGCAGATAACAAGAGTTGCATGGGGCAGACAGTAACTACATCTGTTGGATTCAAAGCCAGCAGCACAGCTACAGAGGATCCTCACTTAGCCTACCCAGAGGAGGGGAGACCTTTAAACCTGTGCTTCATTATCCAAACCCAGGACAGGAAAAAGGCTCCTCCTTGAACCCTATGAGTGAGTGTTCTCCGAAACGACCGTGCCCCAAGTCCCTGAGGGAGTGCACTGTATCTGGAATTTGACATATCATACATAACCAGCAACCTCTAATACAAGGTCAAAACTCAAGACACATTTGGTCCAAATCTGCATCATCATTGCCTTCGCGGCTCCATCTGTTTCAGTCAGAGCAAATGATATGTGTATGTCCTTTCCCCTGCTGTGGGTCAGAGTATGAAAAGGTATCTCTCTGGGCTCTGATACACTCGCTCTCCACAGACACAAATTCCCACACATACCCTCACACTGGCACCCTGTCCCGTGTTTGCCGTTTCATAGGACACCTAGAATATAGGTTGCTGCGACAAATTGTGTTCTGGTGAACGAGGTGACTCTTGTTTCTTTAGAGACTGGGGTTTAATGATGTTGTGTGTGTAAGCCCTGGAGCCAAAGCCCCCTGTAGGCTCCTGTGGGGAAAGCAACACATACCCAAAGGGGAGCAGAGCTGGCACGGATCTGCATCTACATCTATGAAAGCTTGTGTTTGCCTCAATCACTCTTGAGTGAGTATATATTCATCTTTCATGAAATGTGGACAGCCCACTACTTCAATTTGCCATCAAATGGTAATCAACTGTTGCAGCTTTACCAAGTATCAATCTTGTTCTTTGAATTTCAGGGAAGAAATCCCTCTTCTCATCCCAAAGTCCTTCTTTACACCCTTCAAGTTCTCTTCACAAGTTTTTTTTCAAATATTTTACATTATTTTTCTCACCCTCCCTACACTTGTCGTCAAATATCTCCCCCCGACACATTCCGTCACCCCCACCTCCCTCCCATCATCCCTGAGCTCCAGTGTCAGTTCATCCGACAGAGTGGGAAACAAAGCCAAATGAGCCGGAGAATGATGGATGAAGCTAGTGAGACGAAGGAGAGGAGGGAGCGATACAGGACAGGAGGGGGGAGCACAGGTGGGGGGGGAAGAGCTGGGGAGGGAGGCGCGAAGAGAAACAGACGGAAAAAAGGGGAGAGGCTAGGAAGAATATTGGGTCGCCCTGAGAGGGATGGAGAGGAGAGGAAAAAGATAGGATGAAGGGTACATCTGGAAAGATGATACACATCAGCCCTGAAACATAGATAGCAGATGCTCATCACTTTCCCAACACTGAGCCAATCCCAGGAGTTCTGCTAACTCCTTATCAGACACTATCACTATGCAGGGTGTGTGTGTCTTTCTGTCACTGTGTGTTTGACTTTGTGTCGCACACCCAGGCCGGAGTTGTGCTGGGATGATTACATGCAAAGAACTTATTGCAGTGCAGACTCTTTGCTTATCCCAATTATCCTGTCTGACAATGTGATATCTATTTCCGTTTTCTGCTGAGCCGCCTCCATGTCAATAAGCATGGATCTATCACACTAACAGTTCTATGTCAGACATATGGCCTGCCAGCTGTCTGATGGGACTGCTCTGTGCTCAGCTCATGCCGACAGGGGGGCAGAGCACCGTTTTGATTCACCATCATCTTTGTTATGATTATAGAGCTGCTTATCTCAACCCACATGTTTCATAAAAAACGTAAAAATAAAACACTGAACACGATAAAAAGGCGTCAGAATAGATCATCCCACCCAGTCATTATAGGCTATTGGATTTTGACCAAAAAGATAACAAAACAGCTTATTCTGGAGAATTCTACCCAGATAAATAACACAGGCAATCTTGTTTTCACACCAAAACCACACAGGCACAAGAGCAGAAACGTGGCCTCACATTTACACGAATGGTCACAATGCCAGCCCCGGAGACACTGGCAAAGCACGGCCAACACAGCATCACCAATGATGAATGAGTGTGAGCGTGTGCTCAGACATGTGCGTGTGCTTGATCAGACGTGCAGAAGAGAGCGATCAACTGAACCTTTGACAACCACGATGCATGGTTTGAATCAGGAGGTTGAGGAGCGACGTACGACACTGACACACAAGAAAATGCCATGGGTCAGTATGGTAGTTAGTTCACCCAAATTATGCCGTCATCTCAAAGAGATCGGAGACCAAAACGCACATGCACATGAAATGCCCATGAACACACACCAGGCCTCAACACAGCACAATACAGCGATGACCTCAAATCAGATTTGTTTTACCTTTTGAGCTTGGGGGAGCTAAAAAGAACAGATCAAGGAGGAGGGGGGGGGGGGGGGGGGGGGGAGAGAAAGGGTTGTCAGTTTGTGGATAAGTGTTAAAAAGTGCAGGTTCCACTGAAAGGAGTGCCAGCATCTGTGGGTGTGTAAAATCCCCTGGCATTGACCGGAACTTTAAAAAACTGTGACTGTGTCAGGAGGAGATTTGTATGGCTGGGAGGGTCACAGTAGAGGACACAACACTTAAGCTGTTAGTGTTGAGTCAGTGTGGGTGAATGCACTGACTGTGATACATAGATGGGGATAATGAGGGCAAAGAGAAGGAAATAAGCAGAGAAAGACAGGAAAAGGTAAAAGGAATATGAAGAGGATCGCAGAGAAAACCAATCCATTTTCATGCAGTGTTGATAGCCTGTGCGTTTTTCTGCTAGAGGGCACTTGCCTTTGTCTCCTTACATTTTTGGAGCTCTCTCTCACAATCCATTCAGAAATAGTGGAGGACAAATGACTGCAATTCACTCTTTATAGCAAAGCACAATAACTAATAAAAGAATCATTGTGCAAGCATGAAAACTACAGTGTGCGCACATTATCTTATAGCACAAGATCCTATTGTGTAGGTAAGGCGTTATTCTTTGGGCTCTTTTAGCAATTATAAAGGGAACTATAAGGCATGAAGAGGGCATTTAGCAATGCATGATTATATGAGTTAAGATATTATAGTGGAAATAAGCAACATGTGTTTAGTCAGCACATGAGTGAAATCACTGACTAACTCACCAATGCGCCCAAGTACTGTATGTAACATACTCATGCTACACGACTCGCAAACACACACAAGAGGCTCATTGACTTAATAGTTCCATCTGCTGCTCACACACACTTTCACACATTCAGTCTGAGACGTACACAGGCAAAACACAGTGTCAGGCCTCCACTTTCAATGTATCACTACAATTCTCCTTTGGATTATAAAATCATCCATCTTGATCATACCATTTTTTTGTTGTGCATTTTTTGAAAAGGTTGAAATCTGTGAATCAATCACAGATTTGTCTGTGCTCACAACCCAGTGGGAGGGTGTGAGGTAACTGTTGGAACTGGTACCATGTGAGAGATGGCATGATCAAAACTCACAGTGTTGTCGATGTAAGCCTCAGTCCACACCGTGTCGTGCTCCCGGTCGATCACCTTTGGACGACTCAGCACATGGAGATACTCCATCACATTCTCTTGCACATCTGCCAATGTTGAAATCTGAGTGAAGTAGCCTGTTGGGCACAAAGAGGAAGTGGAAGAGAGGAATGATGATGAAGTATTTAACTGAGATGCTTGCAAACAAGCGAGAGTGTACAGGTTTAATCTTCTGACATTTTCCTGCGCTGGGATTATACGTACAGTCTCTTTGGTTCCAAAAAAGAGCAGCAAGTGTCGCTTCCAATATCAGCTTAACTATATCATCTTTTTTCCAAGCTATCACTCCTATTGTATTTATCCTGATACCAAAGCAGAGGAACTACATCTGGATACAGTACAGTAGGCAGCAGATATTTGCCTGATGAAGCACACACACCTGGATGCAAGTATGTGTAATAGCTGAAGAACTCCCTCCAGTCATGAACGAGTGAAAGCGAACCAGCATGGGTTTGTGAATTGGTAAGTGGTATGTAAATGTAATGGAAAAACTCAGTTAAACCAAATGCAATGCCATTCCCTACTGCTGGTAATGCCGCCATTATGATGCTAATGTGAATTTGCAGGAGGGAATATATGTTATCTTTGCAGGGGGGTAGATTTGAAGAGAGGGAAAAGAAGTGACACAAAAATAAGGGAAAAGAGAAAGACAACCACATTTCCACACATCCATAAAAGCAGCCTCCATCACAGTGAGCCAGTCATGGAGAAAATCATAGCTGGAGGGAATAGAGGGTCATCGTTCCCAGCAACGACCTTTACTCCACAGGGAGAAAAAAGTGTATACATCTTACACACACCCATGAAAGATACCATGTGTCACACCAAATTACTAAGGATTGTACCAATCACTGATAATCAAATACTGTATCTACAATCACATAAAAAACAAACAAAATCTCATGTTGTACCCAAACACTGGACGCATTAAAAACCACCTGATTACTGCAATGAGTATAGCAACCAGAATAAACCTGCTCTTGAACTTGACCTGGAAGTGAACCATGTCAGATTGCTCCTTCTCATCCTTCAGAGACAATCGGATCCAGCTATTATTCCAGCAGACAGTAAAATGACAACACACAAGTACGGACTCACATCTCACACAAAGCAAGCTGCCTCAGTCTAACCACATCGTTCATCACAGTGGTGAGTGAAGAATGAGTGCTCCCTCTGGAAGGCTGAGGGCATCCTTCAGACTGAGCCACCGGGGCCAGAGAGAGCAGCTGGGGGAGAAAAATGAATCCTGCTGGCTTTCAATGACATGGCGCACCTGTCGTACTCAGAGGACAGGACTGCATGCGCTGGTCAGGATGACGGCTTTAATGTATTTTGAAGGACCTTAGTTTGAGTGTAATGTAAGCAAAAACTACACAACAAGGTCTCAAAATGCAAGAAAATAATAGATGGGGTGGGGATAAAAGACGACATGATGTGGGACAATACAAATTTGTCTAAGTCTAAACTGAGTTTAGTTTAGTTTATTTATTTATAGTGTCGTGGACAGTCCCCATCGATGAACTGACACAAAAACAGTAAATGGAGCAGCTTTAGCCGACATGGCTAATTCCCAGCTGTTGTCCCCGGCCAGATGGTAATAGACACCCTTTAAATCACAAGCATTAGTTATACAAAAATATAAAATAAAATAAAAAGGATCAAAGACAAGTAGATACAGGCGAAAGGATAAGAGAGGATAAAAGAGAACAATTAAAAAAAAAAAAATAGGTGGATACCCTTACAAGGTGATAATAGAGGAAGAAGAGCAGATAGTGGGGTGTGGATGAAGGTTAAACTCTTTTTTCAGACCACGATGGACAAAGAATGATAACCCTCCCCTTAAGGATTATTAGGATTTAATTTGTTACTATTTGGTAACTTAAATGAATTCAACCTAACCATTTGTTTAAACAAGAAGAGGACCAGGGTGAACCTGAGTGGAGTGAGCAACACAGCAGGGAAGGAGTGGAGTGGTGGGGAACATTTGAAGCAAGACCTGCATAGTTTTCTTGTTGATTGCCATCCATGCATTTATTATATGTTATGTATTACACATCTATACATTAGTATCTGAAAGGTTTGGCGGTTATTCAATCCCTAAGATTTAAATTGATATTACCACATGTGCCTGACATCTGGCATTTCCATCAACTCAACAATATTCTTTGCTCCTATCCTAAGCCATAGGGAGAGATGTTGACATCAGTCAGAGCCTTTAGTGACAGGGCTGACAGCGTTACACTTTACCTCACTTTCACCTTTAAAACAATCCAAAGCGGTAAAACCAAATGTTCTGCAGTAGTTTGAATAGAGATGTTGTGAGTGAAGACGGTTTTGTGCAGCTCCTGCAGGCTGTAGAGGATGTCACTGTCACAAGTCTGAATCATCATGCGACATACACACACGCATTATTAGCACCACACACACACACACACACACACACACACATGCAAGTCTCATCATCACCACTCACACCCGCAAACTGACTGGTTGTGTTCTCTGATATCACATCCAAGCTAAACTGTGTATGCCCTCTGCTCTTATGTTACACATATGCACACACACACACACACACACACACACACACACACACACACACACACACACACACACACACACACACACACACACACACACACACACACACACACACACACACACACACACACACACACACACACACACACACCCAGCAAAAAACACATGCACACCCCTTGTGTGACCCATAGATTGCTCTTCTTATCTACAGCAGCCTGAGGAAATGGAGCCAGACTGTCTCTGTCACCCACCTCCAAGCTAAATATAGCAACCTGAAGGAAAGTGCTCTACGCACTGAGACAACCATGACCACACACAAAGCGACTGGAAAGTGGTGTATCGTCAAGATAGTGAGGACTTTAGGCTTAGAGGAATATGTAATGATGATGACATTTCATATGTGTGCAACTGGAACTGCTGCCTGCTTACAACTGATGAGCACTGACAAACACATGTCTATTTAATGCACCTACACAGACACACATGACAAACACACATAACAAATTCTGAGCTCCTAATGTATTCACTTTCGCTCGGCTAAAAGCCTCAAGCAACTTTCTTTTGCAAAAACAGATTAAAAGTAGAAAAAAAGCAGAGGTCTATGCATGTGTTGTAAGATCCCACCTTTGTTAGCACAGGCCATCCATTTCAGATTATCTGCGAAGGCTGACTCTCGACCAATCAGGTATGGGAATATGCGGACCTGCGGAGGGAAAGAAGATAGCGCCCGTCAGTCATTTTAATCGCATTTTGATAGGGCCCACCACACCACCATATAGAAGATAACACTGTCTGAGCCTGGCAGAAGGCTCATTCTTTATCTTCCAGAGAGAAGCAGGCCCTCTCTCTTTGTTTAATAGAGTCCATTAAGGACTCATGGAAGAATATTTTCTATTATATTGTAGATAACATTTAAATAATTCTAACAAAGTTTGATCAACTCCCGAAACTAAGCAATCAAGGATGTACAGATACAGGTTTCAAAACAAGATAAGTGCATGAAGAATCTGCAATTCTAATGAATGCAAATGGTTCAACACAAAGTCAATATTTTGAGATTAAAAAGCCAATCCAGAGTCTTCGAAACTCTCTTCTGCCAAACCAATTTTAGCCCGACTGTGTTCAGTTGGCTGGTGTAGCAGCAGGTGTAGTTGGCAGGGGGGTGTGTGTGTGTGTGTGTGTGTGTGTGTGTGTGTGTGTGTGTGTGTGTGTGTGTGTGTGTGTGTGTGTGTGTGTGTGTGCGTGTGCGTGTGCGTGTGCGTGTGCGTGTGTGTGTGTGTGTGTGTAAATGCATGTGTGAAGAACATGTTGCCAGATTGGACCAGATGCAAGCCTCTGGGGGGCACAGCTGCCATAGCTCCAATGCCTGCATTTTTCACTGCCTCCCTTCACCCTGACTGCATGTGTCTGTTTGTGTCTGTTTTTTTGTGTGTGTGTGTGTGTGTGTGTGTGTGTGTGTGTGTGTGTGTGTGTGTGTGTGTGTGTGTGTGTGTGTGTGTGGGTGCAAGTGTGTCTTTTTCTTTTCTTTTTGGATAACTTCTCCCAGCAGAAGGGCCTGAAAATTGCAAAAAAAACTAATTTATGTCTAAATGGCAATACCGTATAAATCATGTGATTTGATTGTCACTGCAGTGCATAATATTTAAACTCTTTATATATTCAATAGTGGTCATAAGAGATAAACCATGGATAGCTATTTTTTTTTATAGAATACATATTTTTGTTCTATTATCAACTGAAAAAAAGTTTGACTGTGAATAAGTACAGTTGTCATCTTAAAGCAACCCGCAGATTCTAGATCAGAATCATTCTCTTTTCATAATAACTTCATTGCCAGAGTGACAGAAATGCACAACATGGCTTCGGGTAAGAGGTGTATCAGTGTGATCTTCTGTTTATAGTTACGTGTTTTCCTTCACTGTTAGCCAAGACAGAGATCAAACTACAACCGGCAGGTTATTAAATATGAAAGAGGTTTACAGCTGAGTTAAGTAAGCTGAAGTTAAAATCTAGTTGGGGCTGGAGCCACAGCATGCAATCTTCATCCTACTTGACTGCACACATTTTACATAGGCTGGAATAAAAATACACATGCTTGCAAGAATAAAAATGCATAGACGCACACATCTGTGTATCCATGCATACACAGACACCCTAAAAAATATATTTGTTCATGCTCCTACATTATGTATTCAGCACTTTACCCAATAAGTTAATAATTTATTCTCCAGTGAAAACATTCGCAGAAACGTTGGCAAATGTATTAAGACTGTAAGTACTTTTGTTAGGTGTATTTTAACACCATGAATGAATGAATATCCGTAACTGTGTGTTAAATGTATATTTCAAAACATTGTGATCGTGGCTAATTGTTCTTATGTTAATGGTCTAATGCAAAATGCAACAATCTAGGACCAGACATGCCTACTGTTTGTAATAAAACAAACCCTGAAGGTACAAAGGGCTGATTCCTGAAAGGTTATTGTTTAGTTTATATATAGGCACTGTCTGATGGATGAGCCGAAGCACTTTAAAGTGTTGGATTTTATAGATATTGATTTAGAGAAATATATGTTGTTGTATGTTGTTTACCACAGTGGTGTGTACACAAGGCATTCAAGCTAGAGAACTTCATGAAATTACCCTGAAAAATACTTTTCTTAAAATAGCGGCTGAATGTCACACATCTTTTAAATCTGTGTTTTGGTTTTAATTAACTTCTTATCTTAAAGTCTGCTTTTGTTCTACTATTGCTAAAAGCAGGTGATCCATGACTTGGAAATTATTACAAGTCCAACTTTATCAGTCTTGGCAAAGATTCAAGAATTAATCATATTTTAATCATGCTCTTAGTTTGTAATATAATAATATTTTAATCTGAAAATCAATCTAATATATTTAGACTGATTCTATTAGAGCAGTTTGAGCTGTGTGTAAAACATATACAGTATTGTCAAGTAAATTTCCACTTAAATGTACTTTGTTCCTGATCTTAACTGCAAGGCACTGTAGCTTGGTATTTATTTATCCTTTTAAGATGTGGACAACTCCCTTTTCAGTCAAAGGTAGATGCATTGCATAATATTAAAATAGCCTTTTGGTCACCCATATGTTCTGTAATCAGTGCTCTTAAAAATAATATTCTCTGCCTGTTTGTAGCACTGTTTTTTCTTCTTCCACTCTACAGTATTATTATTATTAAAGGACATACTTTGCCTTTCACCAAGTCTAATGTCTCTATGGTTATGGTTAGCCCTTCATTATTGGTTCAAAAGCAACAATGTCGGCAAAATATGGGCAGTGCACAAAGGAATGTGCACCAGCAGGTATGGGCAAGGTTGTTTTCCAGCCCACCATATCAATCTCTAAGGCAGAGGTAAGTACACATAGCCAACATTTTTCTTAACTGTCCATCACCTTCAAGGTCAGTCCATGCTGGTAAAAACACACACTATGGAGCATCCTTCAAAGGTTGGCAGGGCTAGCTTCCCCTTGCCTCTGTAAGAAGGCCCCCAGTTGTGGTTATGGATACAAAACAAGTCCCCTCAATCAGTGCTCGCCTGTGCAGAGATTTGGGTGCAATGGCGCCCGTCTAAAATGCATGTGACTCATTACAGCCCAAACATTTTTCTTGCTATATCTCCCAAAAATGTTTTATAAAAGAAAAACTGCCCTTAAGCCATACCACACATTATTTGTATGGAATTTGTCTCGCAAACTTTGCTAGGCTACGCTCCTGAGCTAAAGAAATGTGGTGCCAGTACAAACTCCAGGAAATGGAGACCACCAATATTGTTCTAATCAATGCTGTCCAGATGTTCCTATAATATTACTAGGAAATGTAAAAGATCTGGGACTCCCAATTTACCTCCATTTATTATTGCCTTTTTGAGGGAGGTCAAGGTCAAGGTTCTTTATTTAGTCATACGAACATAGCTACAGTATAATTATGCTGATGAAAATCTTAGGTCACAGGCTTCTCCAACAGTGCAACACAAAACACAGATAAACAGGAAAATATAGTGCAAGTAAATAGTAAATACAAAAAGAAAAATAGTTTTAAAAAAGTGAAATAGTGCAATAAGAATCTATATGCAAGTTATTGGAATGCTATATTAGGTAAATAGATAAATAATTGTAAAGTAGCAGCCAGATTAATATTATGGATGTTGTTTCAAGTTCAGGTGTTTAACAGTCTTATTGCCTGTGGGATGAAACTGTCCCTGAGTCTGGTGGTTTTAGTCCGGATGCTGCGGTAGCGCCTGCATGAGGGTGCTGCTCTGTCAAATTTCCACTTAAATTTACTTTGTTCCTGATCTTAACTGCAAGGCACTGTAGCTGGGTATTTTTGTATCATTTTAAGATGTGGACAACTCCCTTCTCAGTCAAAGGTAGATGCATTGCATAATATTAAAATAGCCTTTTGGTCACTCATATGTTCTGTAATCAGTGCTCTTAAAAATAATATTCTCTGCCTGTTTGTAGCACTGTTTTTTTTCTTCCACTCTGCTTACATATTCTGTACTGTTCTGCAAAACGACAACCTGAAATATAAAGTGTGACCAAGTGAGACCAGCTTTCATCTGACATGAAAACATTCAAGCAAAACGTATATGATAAAATGAAGACTAAACACAAATCCATCTAAAATGTGTAAGCTTCATGTCAGCATTAGGTTGTATGTATGTCTGATACTTGTATCCTTTGTTTTAACTTAGTTATTTGGATCAGTAACACACACAGGTTTTAAGTTAGCTAAAAGTCAGAGTCACCAATTTGTTTAAATAAAATAAAGGGTTTGGAGAGCAAAATAAATATACATTTCAGCAACAGTATTTATCTACTAAAGGCGGTTATCTTATCTCTCTGAAAACAATCACTGGTGTAACATGAAAAATAATCTCATTACGTCATATATTTCAAGTTCTCCAGTGTTTCTTTTTCAGAAGACATTATTTTTCCCTGAAACGCTTTCTTTATGATCTTTTGTTTCGTCTTTTGTAATAAATGCCATCTGCATGCAGACATTCAATAACAGTTTTCGCAAAGCATGCCTATATTCTCAGTGTGATGCTATACAGTGGTGAGGCTATAAGGGTGTTTGGAAGAAAGCCATTAAAAACCAGCAGTGGGGAGAGAGAGCGACTGGAGAGAGTGACAGAGACCGAAGACTTCCATTATCAGCGGGGCTTCTTCTAAATGGAACTATCTAGCAGCCTTGTCCCCTCTCCGCTCACTGCTGTTCAGCCTTGAGGCGGGAGTGAGGTTGGAGGGGGGTGCAAGCATTTTCGACAGCATACACACACAAACACATGACAATACAAATGCAGCTTTTATGGTAACACATCAGCACCCATATAAATGCAAAAACATATACGCTAACAGAATGAAGATTACAATGAAATAATAATGTGTCAGTAATAACATCAGACAATGGAAGTTCATATGCATGTATACACAATGTGTGTTTTGCGTGTGTTCATCTACCATTGCCTTAAGCATGGCACTTCAATCCTCAACCTATTAACGGTGAAGACCCCGTAGGCTTTCTTTCTACAATGGAGAATGACCTAAGAATAACCCTTTTTCTTCCCTCCATCTCCTGACTCGCTCTCCCACCATTTCATTCAATGGCCTGTCAGAAGAGCACCCCAATTACCTTGCAGGACAGCGGAGAGAAAGCTCAGTCCTCAGAGACAGTGCCATATTTAACTCTGTCTTAAAAGTCTCTGAAAGAACCCCATACTGGGTTAGCTCAATACCTTCTGCTTTTAAAACGTTGTAGAACAACTGAGGCAAATACTAATACTTGGCAAAAACATGCTCTGAATTGTGACCAAAGAAATTGCAAACACTGATCCTGCTAGCCTTTCTCTCAATCCTTTTGGTCAGATTGAATGCGTAATATCTCTCTAGAAACTGTATTTCTGATGTAGTTAGAATACTTTTTAAGAATTTGTTATCAATGTGACAACCATGTAAACCTTTACACCGTACATACTTTTACCCTTGGTATCCCTTTAAATTGTGTCTAATTGATCTAATTTCTAATTCCACATTTCTGACAGACAGCCCTCACAGTTTAAAAAGTAATTCATAGCCACAGGAGGGCATAAGTACACTGCTCTCCATTGGAAGAACAGGTTAGAGGTTCATGAAGTTGTGAACAAGAGGTAATAAGACATTGAACTAAGCTGATCTCACTTTATTTTAGCAGTGGACCCAATTGTACAAGAGTGTGATGTGTGTGTTTGTGTGCTTAATACATTACCTTTCTGTCTGGCCAGTTGTACTTGGCAAAGATGGCATCATATGTGTCCACTGCCCCATCTGTCACCAACATAATGGCCTGGCTACACTCACTTCCCCTTCCAGTCTCATTGAACTGAAACAGAGAGAGAGATGGTGATGAAGAGCGAAAGAGAGATAGGGAGGGACATTAACATAGGTGGTCAAAAAATGAAATACATATGTAGATATAATGTGACCTAACTGTGTTATAAAAGCTAATGGAATAATAACATGTTTTCTCCATGCATACAAGCTAAAAAGACATCAACCCTGGGAGTGCATTATTTCTCAAGATTACGGAGGGCAACAAAGATATTGGGTATTATAATATACACTTAGAAGGATAGATGTTTTTGAAATATGAGCATTTAGAAGGTAAGTGCATGTGTGTTTGTGTGTGTGAGTGTTTGATTAATTGGTTGTTCATAATGAGTTGTCAAACCACTAATCTGACTCATCAAGTGCCTTGTTTACTTGATTTTTGCATGATTCTGTTGATTAAGCTATTAATTACAGTGCGCTAATTAATTGTGTGCCCGACACCTTCTCTTCTGTATGACTGTGTGTGTGTGTGTGTGTGTGTGTGTGTGTGTGTGTGTGTGTGTGTGTGTGTGTGTGTGTGTGTGTGTGTGTGTGTGTGTGTGTGTGTGTGTGTGTGTGTGTGTGTGTGTGTGTGGGGGGGGGGGTAATGCATGAGTGTATTACTTACGTCACCAAGGAGATTGAAGGCCTCAGTCAGGGCTATGTCTAACATACCGATGCCTTTTGCGAACAGCTTTTCGAGGTGTTCCCGGAAATGCTGGGAAAATACAGTTTGGGAAGGAAACATTAAAACCATGGCGATGAGAAGGCAGTGCAGGGTGAAATACATAGAATGAAACAGAATTGGAGGTCATTATTCATTTTTGGAGAAATATTAAAAAGAAACATACTGATTGAATTTGCTCATAACACAGATAAAACTTATATTTAGCTTAGTTTGATTTGTGTGGGAACAAAGATTGTAATATTGGTCTAACACCCTCTTTAACTTAGCCCAAAGATACTTTTTGCGGCAAACTGCCACATTATATTGGAGTAAAAAGCCACATACTTAAAGAGCTAATAGGACCTGCTTCGTTCACCTCCTGTTAAATCTGGTTTAGTGTGTTTGGAAGTGTATGCACTTGTGTGATTATGCCACAAAGGATACATTATCTCTCTGGCAATAAATGATGAACTTAATGTTGTCAGCAACCTAACAGGTCTCATGTGCATGTCTCATTATTTGTCACAGCCGGGAGGCAAAACCCACTCTCAAACACACACACAAACACACATGGTCAGATGGACACAGCCCATTATCCAATTAAATCTATTTATAGGGGGTTAAGATCCAATTGTTGGCATTTGGATCAGTTCCTGTTGACTCTGGCTCTCCAACTACCTGAACATATTTCCACCTATGGAAATAAGCATCCCTGTTACATACTGTACGTCAATTTCTAATGGCAATACAAATGTTGTGCCTAGAAACCCTTAGACTTACACCCCACCTACACCATCATCTTCCCAGAGTCTTATTTTTCTACACCTTTCCTTTCAATCACTATACAATACATCCATCCCCTCCAGCCTTCTGCTCCTTACTGAGGGGAGGAGAACAGTCTCTCAACACACAGTAGGGAGCCCAAGCAGCATAAGGCCATTTTATAGCTTTCCCACTTGGGAGCAAACATACTCATGAGTCATGACAGACAAACAACACACACCAGCACCTAGCACCAGCAAGACACAAATAAATGTGCACAAAAACAACCTTTAGCGTCCCTGACAACACCTCAACATGGCAAAGACAAAACCTTTTTCTTTGATGTGGATAAAAAGGTTAATCGGTTCCAACGAAAGGCATTACCCTGGAGCATGGCAAACTGTACCTACTGCACGTGTGTGTGTGTGTGTGTGTGTGTGTGTGTGTGTGTGTGTGTGTGTGTGTGTGTGTGTGTGTGTGTGTGTGTGTGTGTGTGTGTGTGTGTGTGTGTGTGTGTGTGTGTGTGTGTGTGTGTGTCTGAGTGAGAGTCTGTGTGTTTAGATGGAAGTAATTTGTCTCAGCACAGTGCTATGTTCAATCCCTGGCACAGCAGTGCACTAAAGTGGCAGATTCAGAGTGTTTGTGTATTTGTGTGTGTGTGTGTGTGCGTGCGTGCGTGAGTGCGTGCGTGCGTGCGTGCGTGCGTCCTGAAAAGGCCCAACCTTTTATGCGGAACCACAAGGCTCTGAAATGTACATATAACATCAAACCCTTGAATGCTTCAGACACCTTTTATGTTCAGAAATGATCAGAGCAGTCAGCTTAATAAAGCCTGGCCACAGGGGCATACACATGAATGAACTAACATATCTTCAATTGCAACTTGCAGAAGCCTAAGCTTTTGATTTCAATCGCAATACTTATCTCAACAAAGGGGCAGGTGCAATTCTGATAAATCAGGGTATATGCAGGAATCCTGAAGTCAAATTTAATACCTTTTAAGACCTTTTTTAAGACCCTTTCCATACATTTTAAGACCTCATCACCACTTCAAGTTTTAACCGGTTACATTGGGGACACACTTTAGCTCACATTTACTATATACACAGTATTGATTGTCCTTCCTCCTTATCTTCCAACCATTTGGACGCAAACTTGCATTTCCCCATAACGATGTTGTTTAACAACCGGCGTAAACGGACCTTCGCAAGCTATCAAGCAGTGAGCGTGCGATGTCCTGTTCAGATGACGTCAAATCCAACGGGATGCCATAAATAAACTACACAGAATCACACTACACACTTACGCAATGATTACATTCAGGCAAACTGTAGAATACAACCTCTTTGGACAATTGATATACTTATTGAAAACAAGCTACAAAATGTAATACCTTGGAAAATGCCGTTTAATACTTTTTAATACTTTTTAATAGCCTTAATTTTCGCTAAATTGATTTATCAACTTTTAATACTTTTTAAGACCCCGCGTAAATGCATGAAAAAAAAGTGGTTGGTTTTCCTGAGCAAAAATTGTGAGTTTTCTCTGTGGGACACATTAAACATTATCAAACATGTATAAGGTACTGCAGTTAAAGGGGCATATCGTCATTGAAATACAGTTGAAAGATTACGATTATGGTCGTATATGCCGATGTCTAAAAAATATTTGAAGCCGTTTCAGTATGTTCTTACCTAAACTGTGTTGATGCTGTTTGAGCTGCAAACAAATCCTTCATTCTTTCTGGATGTGCTGACTTTATTTAGTTAGTTTCTGCATCCGTAATCTGTTAGAAGACTTTCGGTGGCATAACTAGAGCAAACAGTTTAGCAGTCCTTCAGCTGCATTTCAGAGGACTGAGTCTAAGCCCACGACTGTTAAATAGAGATAATGGTGAAAATCACAAGTGTTTACCTTAAGGCTTTAATTAGCCAGGAGCTAATATGGATGTGAGTTCTAATCAGACAGGATGGATTGCACTTCTTCAGATGCTTTTTATATCTGGTAATAGGGGAATGTCTGCCCATGAAATCTTGACAACAGGTATTTATGACCTGGTTGAACTTTGGGTATGAAATAAAACATTTTGGAAACACATGTCAGTAAGTTTAAGTCTCCAGTGTGATAGTCACCGACTGCCCCCAGCTGAAGTAAATGACATTAGCTTTATCTACTAGCACAGACTGCATTCCCCTCTTAGCTGGCTGACTCACACTACATTAAACTACCATCTGGAATTAAGCACAAAATGCTAATCCATATGCACACGCAATGAAATAAACAGAAATCAACCTAAAACACCAATAGGCACACAGATTAAAAAACACACATGGAAAGGATTCCGTGCGCAAGCTGTATCCCAAAGGTTAGGCCCGGGCTAAAAGCAACAGGGGTCATTGCATTTAATTATATTCATAGATTGTATCTTTAAATGGAATTTTAAAGAATTTGGATGAGATGGAATTATAAGTGGGCACGTGCAGGCAGAGCCGATAAAGAAAGGAGCAGAGTCTCAGCGATGAAGAAGGGAATCATGTCACATTAACTGAAGGATTCTCCTCTTGCTATCCTAATAAAAAAGTATTGTAACAGCCGTGATGGTGTACATAACCATAAACACAGTTAGACATACAAACATTCCCCATACCACATAATATCTATACCATTAACTGCCTTAGGAAAAAGTCTAACCATAATGAAAAGAGTCTTCCACTGATAAGCTTTGAAACATACTTGAAATATCTTATTTTCTATTCGACATATTATTCTACCTTGTCGAAAAACTGGCTCTACATTACCAAGCCTCAAGAGAAGAGGAGTGTGCACTCCAAATGCCAAGATGTATTTCATTTTCAAACTTCAGATTGAAGAAGTGTTACCTCAAGTGATCACTCATAATGAGGCTATTTATCAGATGTTGCAGAGCGTTATAAATCATGTTTCACCTTTAAACTTGTAAACAGACTTCAAAAATCATGGGAGTTCCCCTTTAAGGACACAAGTCACTCAGCTCAGTCACTAATCTCTCTCTCCTGCCATCTGGAAATCACTTTCGCAGCATCACCACCCAGTTCATAAACAGGCTGATTAACAGGTCGCACACACACTCTCACTCACACACATGCTCAATATAAATGTACATAACACCGTGATTACATACCATATGCGAGACGCAAAACTCGTACTGAATTCTGTTCAGCTTACATTCATTTACCATTGACATTGTGTATGTATTATTATAGAAGTAACAGCTGATTTCCGAAAGACAGTAACAGGAGAAAACAATAGAAGAAGAGGAGAGAAAGACTCACATCTTTGTTGGGGACATCTGCTTGGACCAATGTTCCATTTAGGCACGACTCCACATAATGCAATTCCTCATTGTACTGTAGGAAACAAAAGTAATAATTCAAGTTAACGTTTTTTGTCGATTTACATGTGCTGTACTTACAGATATGTCTAATCTTATGTTTCAAATGCAAACTGTGAAGATGTTAGAAACTTCACTCATATTGATGAAAACCGCACACACATGCACACACTGTTCTGTACACAATGTACCCAATGCCTGCAATACTGTGATAATACTCATCATTTAATGCATGAGTATGAATTAGACTTCAAAGACCGAGAAAGAGAATAGAAGTGTGCTCTTCCACAGCCGGCAATATTATCCTCAAGTGTGTGTGTGCATATTCATCTGTGAATATCTGTCTTTGTGTCTGTATACAGTGCAACATGAAACAACTCTCACCACAATAGATAGACTTTTCTAAAAAAACATATTAACTTTTACATTTTGTGTCTTCTGTAGGAGAAATCCCTTCATATATGCAGACGGTAACACAGAAAACGTAGCAGGAATCAAAACAAGAAAGAAACAGATGAGTCAAAATGACACATCCTTTTAAAGAGTGTTCGGGGAAAACAATATGTTTCTGCCTGATTGTCTAAATCCTCTTTTCCGTTATTTTTCAAAAGAATAATTTTCAAAATAACATGATTAGGATAACAAATGATAATGAAGACTTTGTTCTGTGGGGAAAAATAATGGAGGCTGGCAAAGCGACTAGCTACGTTTTGATGTGAAACAGCAGTGAGTTTCGCACACACACACACACATTGAGTTTCATCAGACTGAGATGCGATAACAATGGTTTCGGTGCCTAAGGCAGGACCCAATCACAACTGTCTCTTTTGCAATTCAAATCTTCATTCAGCTTACTGCTAATTGGTTGTGAGCGTGACAAGATAGAAAGCTGATTCGTTCCAGCATTTCCTCTGATCTGAGGAGGAGCGGATGTTGGCCTGTGTGTTGTGCATGTGCGTGTGAGAATCTATACAAAAAAATAGAGGTTAAGTCGTTTATGTTGCAGCTGCGTTGACTTACAGCAATGATGTTAAAAAAGTCGTCGTCTCCAAGAGTGTCCAGTATGGAGGAGACCGTCTGCTTGGCGATGGACAGCCGGAGTCCTTTCATGCTGCCACTGACATCCACCAGGATAACAACATTCTTTGGAGAGGTGGCAGCCTGGATGTACCACTTCCGGTTTCGACAGTCAAAAGCTATGACCCCGTGTTCATCCGGCTTCCACTTGATCCCTTGAAGAGACAGAGTCAGCATCACAAGTCAAAAGATGAATGATGAACTGCAATATTGCTAGAGTTGCATCATTTGTCACACAGGAAAACAAACTGCTACCTTGGCTGAAAGAGAAATATGGTGGCCTGAGAGACGGTTACACTACATGCCTTTTATACAACTATCTCTTCTCATTTCATGCTATTTATAGAGATTTTGTTCGCCAGATTTGAAAAAAGCAAACATATCTTCTCAATTACTTCTAGTGTTTTGTTGCCATGCAGATAAAGATTTCAGATGTCCTTCCAGTACAATGGAGGTGAATGTAGTGCTGAGAGAGCTTCAACAAATACACTGAAAAATTCAACAGCAACATCCCTCTCTCGAAACTCTTCCTGTGTCAAAATTGCACACAGAATTGTTCACGTCGGTTCATTATGGTGAACTTTAGGGGATAGAATAGAAAGAATGTAGAGTCTTTATGCAGCAGTGACTTTGGAGGCTTCCAGGTCAGGAAACTAACAATGGACTGAGAGGAAGCCTTTTGATAGCCAGAGCTGCAAAGAATATATATGTCAGACATAGAATGGGAAGTGTTATATAAAAAGCATAATTAAAAACATTCATATGCAGGTTCAAGAGGTCAAAAGATAAAGAAATAAGCCTTTCCATTTGTTTTCTAATATTGTGTGCTACACAGAATATTAAAAATATTCACCAAGTCCATTCAATAGGCTACTTTTCATTATTATGCTACCCCTGTTCTTATTCTTTCCACTTCACCTTAAAATGTTAATTTTATCCATCTTCACCCACTCTAATCTCTATAAACTCTCTCACCTATCTCTCTGTTATTCTCTCTACTCTCCCCTCTACTCCTTTACTCTCACCGCGCTAGCCTCAAGTCTGTAGCTGTTAGTGACTGAACAATCCTTTACACATGTATTTCTGCTATGGGAAGACAGCAACTTAATTACAAACATACATACACACTCAAATTCAATAGCCACTACCTTACATTGCTTTATCATTCCAAACAAACACACTTACCTGGGTACTGCCTGAAAAAGCCTTTGGCACTGCCAAAGTACTGCCATATGAGTGATGGGTCTCTCTCAAAGTTATCAACAAACACTTTATTCAAGGCCTCGGACCAGAACACCCCGTTGACGATTGCCGAGTCTAAGGATTAAAGGGAACAAGAAGAAGTATGGAGAGGAAATAAAACAGCATTTCAGTAAAAAGCTTACTATTGTTCTACAGTCCAGGAGGTTGGAAGATATTCTCTGGTGCCTGCTCAACTACTCATATCGTATCATACACTACACCTCTGAAGATCACTATCAGGGCCTATTCATTACACAGGGAAACAGGGAATTTTTTTTGTAGTAAAACAGAGTGAAAAGATGAGAGTGAAGAAAAAATAATTATAGAGATAAAAGAGAATGGAAATGGAAGAAATGGTAGGCTATTCTGCCCTACAAAGGCAACATGCAGTCACATGCAGATTAATAATAGCGTTAAGACCTGAATCTTACTTTGTGATATCTTTGTTTGGATATAAAAATACTCATATCATATTAATGTACACTTACTGTGAGACTATACTGAATTCTGTCTTTGTGTTTGCTGCTCAGACTGCCCTACCTTTACTTTGGCTTAGTATTTTTTTTTACACCCACCATTGAACTTGAAGAACTCTCTGCCACACATTGCAAACTAGACAGCTAAAGCGAAAAAGCTGCATAAATGGAAAACCATAATAAGGCTAGACTTCATTTAAACAGTTTTCTATTATTGATTTTCCCCAGCTCTTGTCTGCAGCTCTGGTCACTCAGTTTCATTATTTCACACAACTTGACGGGGCAGCAGCTATATTCAATCACAATAAAACTAAAACAGATAATACATGATATAGGGTTTGCTTACAATTCTATCCAAACTGATTGTGATGTATGGTGGGGTATATCCAATCATTGGAACCCCTTTTCAATGTATGGGTTGCAAGAGTAGTCAAGAATGAACTGGCTTGCCAACCAAGCCTATTACAGCTGCTTACTACCACCATTTTGCAGAGAAAAGGAGAAAAAGGATGAGCAGACAGACAGACACAATCATACAGTAGGGGGAATATACAAAAGAATGTAGAGAGCGAGAGATAAAAAGGAAAGCCAGGAAGGCAGACAGAACATTACTGAGAGACAGTCACACAGACAAGTACCTAATGGACACAGAGAGAGAAAAGCAGATAACAGATTTCCCATCATCTTCTATGCTGGCAACATTGTTCTGCTGTCAACAATCATGCCAATAAGCCATGATTGAATTAGTCCTCTGGATGCTAGTACACTAAAGCCCTCTCTTGATAGTAAACACCCATCCACCTCTATGGAGTGGAGTGCAGAGGAGGCTGGATTTGATCCAGGCTCCATTTACACAACAATACAGTCACTTCTGGTGCAGTTTGAGTGTCTATTGCAACTGAACTCGTCATGATGAGGCAGGGAGTATGGGCTCTACTTCCCCCCTAAGCTGTCATTTATATTCATCTCAACTAATGCTCTCCTTAATTCGATCTGATCAAAGGAGCGCACATGATTTTTTATAATCACACGTGAGCGTGTACTCAATGTTTAAAAGTAGAACTGTGTAGGTTTCCCACTGCAACAGTCAGAGTGATCAGATCGAATTGACTTTGCTTTAATAGCTTCACAAGGGTTAGGAGAGAGCAAGAGTAGAAACGAGGGAGTAGTGACAAGTGATGAGTGCACATGCTCACGGGAATGTGAACACTACTCCATCTCAGAGAGTATAAAGGTATAAATGGACATTAGAGTGTATCGACATGCTGGAAATGTGTGCATGGCTTCACTGCGTACATGGTACATGTTCCTGTCATGTAGCCTCATAAAGCATGATGGTCTATGTTGTGTTTTGGTTGCAATGGGAGTTTGGAAGATGGATGCTCGATGTGGTGTGTTTCTCCTGCGATTAATCTCCGGGGGCATGAAGCTCTCTGCTATCATGGACTTAACCCCTAATACATCACGGCTGCCATCAAACCATTTATGATGTACACAGGCTGCAGCCAGCTCCTCAGCCGCATAAAAAACAGGTTCAGACGACAGTGACTTGTTATACGTGCAGGAACGTATAACGTATACGAACACGTTCAGAAATATAGTCGGATGTAATCTGAAAAAAGCAGCACTGATATAAGAACCCAGCCCTCATTCTCAAGATCTTGTTCATGTTATAAAAGGTTAATTTGCAGCGTTTGCCATCTGTTAAGATTTCAAACCCGTAGATGTTTTTTCTACAACTGGTTTAACTGGATCATAATTCTTCTGATCATATAAAACAGTCAAAAATACAAACAAATACAGAAGAGGAATACAAAGGTTATTTGTTCACAACTACTGTAGCAATAGGTACAACAGAAATTGCAGATTAATACTTAAGTAAAAAACAATTAAAATGTATGTTGAAAAATGTTCCCACCCCCCCATGCCTAGATTCTTAGTCTCATTTGCAGAACCGTGATGCTTCGCCCACCAAGGCACTGCACTCCCTGCAGTCTCAGCCAACACCATCCATATGATCACTATCAGTTAACAAAGCCTGGAGATCTAAAACTCTTAAGTTCTCTCAGTGTGTGTGTGTGTGTGTGTGTGTGTGTGTGTGTGTGTGTGTGTGTGTGTGTGTGTGTGTGTTCAATTCTACTAATTTGCCTGTGAATCAAATCAAAATGACTCTTCCTCTCCCTGAATCGGCCTGCCAGCTTCACTCTCCTAGCCCTTTCATTCAATTCCTTTCCATTTCATTCACTCTCCTCCTGTCGCTCTCACTTGCTTTCTCCCTTTTTTCCACCTAGCTGTAATTAATCTGTTGCTCAGACCTTCCATCAGTCTGACTTAACCTACTTTCTATCTCATTTGCTTTATCCCTCTTTTCCTCTCCCTCCATATAATTTCTTCGCCTCTGGTAGCTTGGGTTAAGCCGACATGACATTCACTCTGTCCACTGAGCATTGTACTAGGCCATGACTTCATGGGTTGGACTTGAGTGGATGGTAAATTAGCAGAATGTCTGATTATTTTACTGCTAATTAAGTCAGTGTGTGGCAGGGATGATCCAAAGAGTTACAGTTAATGAACTCAAATCCTCTTCCGGACACATCCACATGCACACATAATAACTGTAGTACGGATTGTTAGGATTTGACTAATCCAAATTATTGAAGAATTCAGCAAAAATATCTGGTCGTGGGAGGCTAAGATGTACATGATATGTTATGGTCATGATGTGTTTTTTACACCTTTATCATAATAATAATAATAATAATAAAGCTTTATTTATATAGCACTTTTCATACAACACGTGCAGCTCAAAGTGCTTTACAAAATGACACATCACCAGTTCAAAACAAACAAGAAATTCCCCTCAGATTATTTGTTAAGAACTTTAAAAGGTACAAAATATAAAATGTTATCAGGTTAATAGACACAAGGAGGTAAAATGTATGATAATAAAAATAAAATAACATAAATAATGGTTTCTCTCTGACAGATAAGACACAAGACAACTGACTCGATGCAACAATATCAAATATAATATAAAACCCCATACAACAAAGTTAACAGAAATAGAAATAAAAAGATTAAAACCTATAAAATAAATAAAACAATATAAAGGTAGGTAAATAATAAAGACTAAAAGGACATTTCAAGTGGGGGGTTGCTAATAAAAAGCTAATCTAAAAAGGTGTCTTTAGCTGTCGTTTATAAATGTCCACTGAGTTGGCCTCTCTGATGTTTCCTGGCAGGGTGTTCCACAGTTTGGGAGCATAGTGGATAAAAGCGGACTCACCCATTTTATTTTGGGAGACTTCAGGGATATTTAAAAAGCCAGCTGAAGAGGACCTCAGGGCACGTCCAGGGACATAAAACGAGAATGACTCTGTGAGATGAATTGGAGGTAGTGAACATACCTTTGTTGTACATGTTGGTGGGCACCTGGACCGTGCTGAGACTCAGGTTGACTGACAGGTTGTTAAAGTGGTCATTGGGCTGCAGGAGGAATTCTCCTCCAAGCTCAACGCTGTTCCCCTCCTCGTCAACTTCATTGATCAACACCGCATTGAAGTATTCATACTAGGAAAAAAAAAGAGAAGTGATGAGATTTCTGGCACAATTTAAAAACACTAATAAACACTCATTTAAACACTTGCTGAATTGTGCTATCAATGTATAGGATAGGTGGGTCACTCAAGTGCTGAGTCAGAGAGTAGTTTGCGTAGCGAGGTAACCTGAAACCCTGGATCATCCCAGACGTGCATGATGTTACAGCAGAAAGCTGCTGAGTTGACAAATTCTTGCTCAGCTCGCATACTCCCTTCCTAGCCAGATGCTGAATGTGGTGCTCTGCCTCCACTGTATTTTTAGTACTGCGCATACTGGGGAGACTATTAATAAATCATAAAGCAAGATAAATATAGATCACATGGCTCCCTGCATCCCAAAGGCTGTGATGTCTGAGGTACCACATAGGGGGAAAGCCTGCAAAGGCTATAGTTAATGCAGAACAAAAGGCAACAAAGTGGTTCTAAAAGAAATTAAGAAAACCCAGAGGCATACATCATGTTTTGTATGTTTAAATGTAAATGAACTAAACATACACAAACAGAGAGAGTACAACTACATCCAATTATGTAGATTTAGGATGAAACAAGTGAACTTGTAACAACTTATACAACTGTCATCTATCTTTCTGGTTTTATATCTGCAATTTAAACTTGAAAAACACAGATGTTTCTTGTGGCCCAGGTCCATCACTGCAGAATATCAGGTGCATTGTAATCATTTTGATGTCAACATAATAATGTGCCTACCTCATTTGAATTGTGATCTCAAGCCTGAACCAGTTCTCAATCCACCACACTGACATTTGCTTCAAACTGATAATGAATATATAATTGTCATCTTCAATAAAACTGCAGCAGCAGTTCAATCCCTTGCACAGGTCAACGGCTGTGATTATATGGCTTAAGGCCACATTGATTTCTCTTGTAATGACTAAAAGAATGGGATTTGAAAAGGGCCTCAGAGGAGAATGATTGCTATTCTCAAGAGTCCAATTTAAGCCTCAGTACATGTTATTATTCAGAGGGGGACAGACACTTTCTGGACTTTCTTTTTCAGAGACTGACACGGCACAGGTCCTAGTAAAGGGTCATTCTGGGCTGAGAAAACAACATAGAGCACACATTTAAAGGTCACAATATCTTATCTATTTATAACCAAATCCTGACACAAGCCCTCAGACATGTTTTATTGCCCTTCAGACTTCAGTCAACTCTTTCCTCTGTACGCCCTGAGAAACATCCCACCACCCTACCTTCTTTTTTTCTAGCACCAGTAACCTTCACTTGTGCAAAATGTTACCAGGTCCTCCTGAGGAACACCATCATCGCCCCAGCCCGGTGCACAACACAGATAAAGCCATCAAATAAGCTGGCAAACGCAGTGCCTATCGATGTAATTAATCAGGCCTGATTAGGCTTATTAGCCTTTTATCAAGGGGACCACTGCCATTTCAAGGTGAAGGAGTGTAGTGTTGCATACTTTTGCCTATGTTTTTCCTCCTTTTTCTGTTTCACCCCCCTCATTACTCCAGTGTGGACATAAACCTGAACTATAGTTTCAACAGAAGAATATCTGTTTTTGTGGGTGACAAAACAAGATACTCTCTTAAAAAATGAGCAGGTTGGAACAGCAAAATGGTTATTATGAGAATTGATAGAAAAACCCATGGAAACTTTAATACAGTGCCAGTCAGTATTGAAAAAGGTTTCCTCACTCAGCATGTAGATACATTAGAACAAGACATTAGTATTCAAATCACTTTGGGGTCTTGAACCAGCAATTGTGAAAATCAGAACTACTGTACATTTACCTTTACAATGTTTGTGATTTTTTTTAAAGTACGGTAAAAGAACGGAATACAAATTAGTTGACTCTGACAATAACCTTTTTACGTGACAAACACTAGCCTTTTATTCACCAGGTGGCCAGAAACAATACTGCAAATGAAAGCTAATATTTGTCTGTATCAGGCTAAATCTTTAAAAAGGGTACTTTTTTATAATTGCCATAATTGCCATGTTAAGAGAATATTATATATATTATATAACATTAATATTATAATCATTTGTCAGCATTGTGTTCATTTTGCCTAAAGTCTTAACCATTTTTTGTTTTGTTCTTGTTAGATTGAGAAGCACCTTGAACCAAGATCAAAAAGCTGTCGCCACTAGCATAAGAGAGTGTCAGTGACATAAAATGCAGTGAGGTTGCAGGAATTACGACCTTTGGGCGTACAGAAACTTTGGCACAGTTTGTTCATTTAAAGAAGTGCTTACGTTTCCTATTTACCCATCTCTTGCATCCTCTGCACCTGACCTTTCTACCTCTGGCAAGTGTTTCTTTGTTCGCTGCCAAAGAGAATCAGGCATCCAGAGCTAGCCTTGATTACACCTGATTATCACCTTCACAACTTCCAGCTCTCTCAGCATGTCGTTCTCCAGTCCAAAGAAATGCAAACAAATCACACATGCAAATAATACAACAAAATCAACAACGTATACCTTCAACTGAAAGTGTGCCCTTTAGCAATGGTGGAATATAACTTACTACGTCAACTCAAGTGATGAGCGTGAATACAATTTTCAAAGTTGAAGACAAGTTGTTTGCAGATATTCACATAAAGCTAACTGGACTACAGCATATGGCCCCATTGGGTCTTCAATGTGTTCCCTTTTCAGCCATTGTCTCGTTAGTACATGTTCTATCATTCTCTCTCGCTCCCTCTTTCTCTCCCTCCCAACCTGATTTATCCATTTCCGTTTCTGGCGGGGCCTTTTTCCTTCTGCCCATTGTTCACTGGCTCAATGCAATCCTCATCAAGCTCCTCACCCCCCTCCATCTCTTCCAGGTTACAACTCGAATCTGTCTCTCCAGCATGCAGCCCTCATTGGCAAGTTCGGCTATAATCAGCTCTATCTGTGAGACCATTGTTGCAATTGCCAAATTGTCTCGGTCTACTCAACACATTATATATGTCTCTCCCATCTTGCTGGCTGTGGTTAGTCTTTCCTCTATGTCTGTGTGATAGATGGAATAGGAACATTATGAATCTCTATTCCTAAATAAAAGCAATTTCCCAACAACTTTGACTATTTTTGTACAATTTCAGTCACTAAGAAGCTAAGTTGATTTGCAGAAATATGTAAAAAATATATATACATGTGTACATTGGGCAGATATTAGCAGACACAAATGGTAACCGCGCAACACACACACACACACACACACACACACACACACACACACACACACACACACACACACACACACACACACACACACACACACACACACACACACACACACACACACACACACACACCAAGTTTTATAATGGCAGTAACAACTTTGTCTCAAGATCCGAGATAGAAATAGTAAGGCCTACTTGTTCTAACTCTATGCCCTATGTAGGTGTCTTGAAAGACAGGCAAAGAGAAAGATAAGAGAAAATGCGACAGCAAGAATTAGCTGTTAAAAGTATAAAAAGAGAATAAAAGGTTAACTAACATGACTATAAAATAAACAACTGTTAATGAGTCTGCTAATAGATCTTTTTTAATTCACAGCATGTGGGCTTTAATTTTGATTAAATGACATCAGGTTTTGAGTTTCAATGATGTGGGAGTGAGTGTGGGTGTCTGCATGGAGGCAGGGGCAGTGTGTGTGTGTGTGTGTGTGTGTGTGTGTGTGTGTGTGTGTGTGTGTGTGTGTGTGTGTGTGTGTGTGTGTGTGTGTGTGTGTGTGTGTGTGTGTGTGTGTGTGTGTGTGTGTCCAAGAGTGGGTGTATGTGTTGACTAAGTCAATTATGCCATTTCAGCAGTACAGTGAAGGAGTGCCCAGTGTCACTAATGCAGTCCCTGATCATGGTGTTAACAACCTGATCTTTAACGTTGCAGTGCATTACGCTGAGAGATCGCACATGTTCCATCAGCACCCACTCACTCAGTGTGGTGCAGACTGAGAGGGAGAGGACGAGGGCGGATTACTGCAGGAAAACATGGAGCATATTTCAGGTCCCTGCTTCAAAACATGAGCCCCAAAAAAATGTAACGCCAAAAAGTGAATTGCAGATTGCTGCATTCACATTGATGTGTCAGCACCATTCACTAAAAGTGATACATTAATTCATGAATCATTTTATCATTTTCTCTTGTTCTGGTTTCTTGCATTCCTTTGGGTTATTCTTCTTTTTTGTATTCACTTCTTTTTGTAATTTGACATCTATAAAATGGAATCCACATAAGTAAAAAGAAAAGGAATAAATAAATGAAGGCATACTGTTTTTAGAAAGAAAAACATTGAAAAAAATGTATAACTGTCTCAGTAATCCTTTGGCTTTCATTTGCTATTTCCAGTTCAACATATATAAAGATGTGCGGCCTTTCTTTGTCATGAAAACAACATTTATTTAAGTAAAACATTTGTTGAACTTAAATAAATTAGGCAATTAAATAATTCAACAACATACATGTGATCCAATCTTATTATCAGGTTTTGTATTACAGTAGTACATGTTTTTCTTGAATATTCTCTTTTAAATTCATTCTTATAATGTATTTTGTGTGAAGCATTTGTCAGTAGTACTGCCTTTTTCACAATATATCGTATGCTCATTTATGCTGATTAAGTTATTATTATATATTTTGGGTTATTTTTTAATTTAAAACACTTTGAAACGGCCTCAGTAGGTTGTAAATAACCCCTCTATAAAAAAACCTACAGGAAATGTATCTCACTGTTTTCTGTCGACTGGTCAGAATCTTTTTATGATTGCTGAGACTTGGCCAGGAAGGGACACTCTGAAGTTTGAATTTAAATACTGCCATTTTCCCGCAATCATTGAGTTTAGTGGCTATTTCAAGCTAGTGCACAATTTCGCACAAGTTTGTTTATCTTTCGGTTTGCCACTGGTGCCGTAGTCATGAAACATCCTAGTACACATTATTACTCCTAGTGACAAAGGTCTAAGAAAATACATTTTCCTTTGAAATACAGGGACTCTAAAGAGG